GATTACGTGAGCGGTCGTTTCTGTAGCTTAAAGTAGTCTTCTTTTTAAGTAGCTATGACGTGGTCGAGTGGAATGAGTAGTCATGAACTCACTAAAATGTCCAGACATGTGGTGGCGTGGTGGGCCGGGTCATTGGGCTCCCTAAAATATGGTCAAGCGCAGTGATGGCTGACTCATCCGTCATACTCGTGAACGAGTGCTGCTTGTAGGGACTGGTCTGCTCTTATCACTACAACCGATTTAATTTTATTGTGTTTTTATATTTGACCCAAAAAATTAATGCTGGTTGGTAGTTTGTATTCACATGTTTCGACTTGTAAATGTAAACTTACAAGGATTATTTAAAAAAGCAACACACGCAAATTTCTTGCTCGTTCTTCTTGTGATGAGAAAGCTTTCCGAACGTGCGGTAGTTAAAAAAAAAAAATATGACTATTTAAAAGTGCTTAAACTAAGTTTAGTTGAATAAATGATTTTCTATTCTATTCTATTCAAAATTATATAATGACAACTTCTGTGACCTAGTGGTTTAAAATACCGCTTTACTTCCGATCGTCGCGGGTTCGATTGCTCGCACGGCACAAATTTTTATATTCATAATGATAATTGTTTTAGTATCAGTCTAGTTTCTTTCTATGTATTTTCGAAAAAAATCTATATATCAGTTAACTAGTATCCATAATACAAGCTTTAGCTAGCTTTATTTGGGTCTAGATGGCGCTGTGTGAATTGTGAACAATCCCATTTCGTAAGTCATTATGGTATATTGTTTTCATCTATACATAAAATTGGAGTGTCTGTTTGTAATATTGAAATAACCGTTTTTTACTACATGCATATGAATATAAATACGGTACATACACCAAAATAACATTTTTAACAATTTTTGTCTATTTCTCTGTCGGTCTGTTTGTTACGGTTAATCTCTGAAATGGCTGGACCTATTTTGACGGGACTTTTTTTTAGCAGTTAGCTGATGTAATAAGGAGTAACTTAGGCGACTTTTATTTAAAATAAATAAAGTTAAATTCCACGCAGACGAAGTCGCGGGTACAGCTAGTCAGGAATATAAAACAATACCGGACGTAATAAAGATAAGTGACGTAAACATATAGTAAGCGTATAAGCTCTTTGAGTTACACCTGTTTAGGAAGTACATATAATATAATATATGTTGGAAATGAATAATATACATAGATAAATATTATATATATTCACTAGCTGCGGCCGCAGCTTTGCCCGCGTCAAATTTATGGTAGTAGATCAAGCCACGCGTAGCTATGGTTAAGGCTATATATAGTACTAGCTTTTGCTCGCGGCTTCGCTAATTAACCGCGTTAATTTATCCCCTTAGGGGTGGAATTTATCGAAATCCTTACTTAGAGGATGCATACGTCATAGTAGCTTTATGCATGCAAAGTCTCAGCCCGATCGGTTTAAAATTGACAGTTTCATACAAAATCCCCTATTTTATCCCCTTGGGGGTAGGAATATAAATACGGTACAAACGTCAAAATAACATTTTTTTACAATTTTTGTCTCTCCGTCTGTTGTGCTAATCTCTGAAATGGCTGGACCGATTTGGATGGGACTTTTTTTGGTAGGTAGCTGAGGTAATAAGGTACCTACTTATTACCTAGTAACTTGGCTACTTTTATTTTAGAAAAATAAAATAAAATTCCACGAGGACGAAGTCGCGTGTACAGCTAGTTTTCAATAAATTGGTCCATAATTTCAGTTATAGTGTCAAACTCCTTTCTTCCCTCAAGTTCTTTTTACTCTTTTTAGGACTCATTACTGTCAATATTTTTGTCCTCTTCTTGCTCAATCTCAATCTTTATCAAGTTTTAGTAAAGATATCATATCAATTTATGTTTGTTTATTAATGAACGACGACCCCAAACTTCTGTCTCTTAGCGTTTTTGAATAAACTATTTTAGAAATTAGGAAGACTAATAAAGAGAAAATTAACATTTCAAAGATGTTGTTTTTAAGATTAGATATCTATCTATATAATTCAGGAATCAAAATGTATATCCGACTCTTAATTTCTTAGAACCAGAACCCCAAAGACCCCGCTTTTATGCCAAAAAATATGAAAGGCCTCTTAATCTCTTGAGCTCATTATTAATTCAATTTAAAAATCATTTATTCATGTAGAATATTTTATCCGCTTATATCAAATTTACTTTAATTACCTATACAGATTCAATTGAGAAGAACTGGCAAGAAACTCAAATGAATTCCTTATTTTATTAATTCAGTTTATTTACAATGTATATGTACGATATATAGTGGCAAGAGCTCCACCGACAAGAGCGTAGCTCTTAAATTATGAATGAATGAATGTACGATATATAGGTGTGTATGTCTAACATTAAATGAAAATCCCGTACATGAACGACTATTGGCATGCACGCTCGTCATTCAAGTAATCTTTTAGTGAGTTAGGCTTTGCTCAGTAAATATGATTTAACAGATGTTTTGAATTTATTTAAGAGTAATTCCAGTATATCCTTGTTAGGGTTCACTTCGATATTGTCGAAAAATCTGATATTTTATATTAAAAGAAGGTAGTTTCATTATTACTCGGTATCGTTAAACTAGTTGCATATAACCCCCACTCATATCTTCTCTGTATAAAAGGAGGGTTTTTGCTGAGCACAGGATGTGCTGGTTGTATTTTAAATGCTAAAGTGAATTGTGTTAGAGACATAGTTAAATTAATGTTATATAGTTGTTGTTTTATTATAATACATACTTTTACTAGTACATAGAGTTGATATATCTTACACTTGAGTAATATACAATATTGAAAATGTTTATACTCATTCCCATAAAAGATACATTGTTTGGGAATACTAGCTGCTGTTTGTTTAACAATTTCCTCTAGTCATGTACATATTTAGAAATATAGCACTGCGAACAATTTCGGGAAACACCCGAGTTAAATAGAGGAGCGCTAAACTAAAACAGAACTAAACGATAGCGTTCAGCGGGATCTTTCAATCCAAATTCTTTATAAAGTACAGGTTACAAAGGTCTTAAGAAATAGTAAGTTTCACTGTCTTCTGCAATTACGCATATAAATTGAAAACAGTATATATTATTGTAGGATTATATAAATAACTAATCTTCGTGTCTTTCTGTATATATATGACTAGCTGACCCGCGTAACTTCGTCTGCGTTTCACTTCCCCACCTTTTGCTATATTTTTCATTGCATCTCCGCTCCTATTGGTCGTAGCGTAATGTTATATAGCTTAAAGTCTTCCTCGACAAATGGACTATCCGACACAAGTAATTTTTCAATACCAACCAGTAGTTCCTAAATTTAGCGCGTTGAAACAAACAAACAAACTTTATAATATTTGCATATATATGTATAGCTTAATAATATTTGTATATATATAGTACGATGACGCCCGTGATGTCATTTTTTTATTGGATAAGCTATAAATACGGAATATGAATTTACATAGCACGATTCTCGTAGGTCACTGAAATCTTATCTTATCTTAATAATAATATTATATACGCGAAAGTTTTTGAGTGTCCACGTCTGTTACTCTTTCACGCAAAAAGTACTGAACGGATTTTTATGAAACTTTACAGTAATATAACTTATATGTACATTAGAATAATACATAGGTAGGGCATGATTTAAAATCATATGCAAATTGAGCGCAATAATAAATGATGCGGACGAAGATGCGCGGATCAGATAGTAAGTAACAAATAACATTTAAAAGAAATAAAAACATTTGGTCAAATTAAGAATCTTAGTTTTTTTTATAGTAGGTTTCCGGTTCACAACACCACCGCAAGTGCGTTGCCGGCCTTTTAGGAAGGAATAAGCTCAATTCTTGAAGGTTTCAATATCGTATTCATTTAATTAAAAAAGGTGATTGCATTCTGAAGAAAAAAATACTCTACTATTGCTCTTGCAACATAATTAAAAAAAACTATTTGTTATTGTCATATATACAGATTTGAAATCGATAGTCCAGTAGATTAATAATTTCTGAAAACTAATAAATAATAAAATCTACCGATAAAAAAAATATCATACCATAAATATGTCGTATAATCTTTTTGGTTCAAAATCCAAAAAGAAAGATATATGTAATCTGTATCTATAAATACAACTATGGATTTATAATTAAATCATTTATTTATAGCCATTTTTGTGATATGATTAAGTGGTTAAGTACTAGTTTTTTCAAATGCTTAAATTAGTTCACCGCTCTTTTGCGAAAAATTTTAGTAATTCGCTCCCGTGTCGACTCGCTGCGAACTATTGTAGTTTAACTGGTTTGCTCTCGTGTTGACTCCGAAAAAGGGTTTCTAAATTGTATGCCTTTAAGTGTTCTTGTTTATTTTTATTGTAAACCTAGTAGGTACCTTTGATCTTGTTTTTTTTAACCTTTGAACCGCAAACAAGCTGGCGGATCACATGTTGGTATGTGGTACAGTCGCCTATATACAAAACAGGGTAACGAATATCGCCTACAGTTTACAACAGTAGTCTATAAAAAAAATAAGTTTATATGGAGAAGGAGTGAAGAATGATATTTTTTTTAATTATCTATAAAAATAGATTAATAAAATAAAAATAAAAACATTACATATACTACAATGTATTGAGACACATACGCATAGAAGTCTTTGACAATAGAATCTCAATAATGGTCAAATTTATTATGTTAATTAATTATGGTCGTATTTCGACCATTTGGCCACCACGAGTTATTGTAGATTTTTACATATATGTACATTAGCCCGTCCTAGCTTCGCAAGGGTATTTAACAAATACATATAAATATAACTTGTAGTCTAAAAGTAATTAACTAAGGAAGGAAAGAGCGAATTATCCGCGCTTTAGTTCACTACTTTCAAAGCGCTCTTCCGTTGTAGTTCGCCCATGAACTATACAAGTACGTACCTACTTAATATTTTATAACAATTTATTGCAATTTTTGAAGGTTATTTCCCGATCATAACTGTGTCTACACGTGAATTCAGTACAAATCCAGTCTAACACAGCTTTAGTCATTACATAGCACGTGTAAAGTGATTTAGCAAACATCAATGTTATAAAATACACATTGGCGGGAACATATCCAGTATTTTTTTTTTAATTTTTAGCGGCAACATCGATTTTGGTAATTAATCTGTGAAAAAGAAAAAAAACTGTGAAAATGAAATTATCCACAGTGTTTTTTGCTAAAAGGTGTGTATTTAAATTTTTTTTTTAATTATGCATTACTAAGGATTGCCTTTTTGGAATAATATATATTTTTAATTATGTAGATAATGTCTGACGGTAGTCTGACATATTTGCAAATTATTTAGATGTATTTTTGCACAGATTAAATAATTTGTTCTACCTTCTTAATAATATGATATATTGCACAGATAACAGTGATTTTGTGTAAATATATTTTAAAGTACTACTACTTTCTTTACATAATTAAGGAAGATCTACAGATAATACTAATTAGTATTTATCTATACATATAAATAAAATTGGGAGTGTCTGTTTGTAGTATTGAAATAACCGTTTTTTACTACATGTATATGAATGTAAATACGGTACATAAACCTAAACAACATTTTTTACAATTATTTTCTGTCTGTCTTTTTGTTCCGGCTAGTCTCTAAAATGGCTGGACCGATTTTGACGGGCCTTTTATTGGCAGGTAGCTAATGTAATAAGGAGTAACTTCGGCTACTTTTACATTAGAAAAATAAAGTTAAATTACACGCGGATAGTCTGTATTAAATAGAAAATTATATTATTTTATTACTGTTGAACGTAAAACTGTTACTTAAATGAAATAACAGATATGATAATATTACATAATCAAATGGATTTGACAAAGGACATTATATTATATGAAAATTTGAATATTAAATAATTTCAAAGATGGAGTCAGTACCAGTTTATTTTGACATGTTTTTTAATAATATTTAGTATCACAGTTAATTAATGTTTTTTACTATTAACTAGCTCTTATTCTAGACTTTGAACACATAGGTATATTTGTTATTAAAATTTTTAAATGAAGCCTAATTTAAACTCCTTATAATAGCTTTATTTCAAAATAGACAGACTGTAATTTTTTTTTAATTATATCTTGGATGTATGTAATATTATGTTATCTGTGGTAATATATACATTTACATTTTACATTTTTAGCTATTATTTACATTTATGTTTTATATACTTTTTATTTTAGCTTTTTAATAAATGTATAATTTATTAAAAAGCTGGTAATTTAAAATACATACAGACATTTTAATTTTATTAATTTTGTTTTTTATTAACGTAACAATATATTAATGATATTCTTTATTCATATAAACTTAATATAAGCATTTTTGAGTAGTCATATCGTTTTTTATTCCAGCACTCATTCGGAACGCAGACTTTTTTATTACTTGTAATTAATCTGACCTCGGTCAAACGCAGTCAAATAAGTATATCTGACCGCGTTAAGTAAGTCGTTTTTCTTGTAATATAAGAATAGAAAAATCTTTATTCTAATAAACTTAAATTTAAGCAATTTCGAATTGTCATACATTTTTTTAATCTACCACTCATTCGGAAACTGTCTCGTCACAAGAAGAACGAGCAAGAAACGTGTTGTATGCGTGTCTTGCACGTTCTTGCAAGTTTTGCTATTCCAAACGTGCATTTTTTAAAAATCAAAGCATTAAAAAATATTTAAAGTTATTAAATTTATATATTCTTTTCATTTTAAATTTGCACAGAAGTATTATATGTCATTTTAAAAGTATTTAGATAATGATTAAAACGGCGCGGTTAATTCCATTGACTTATATAACAGGAGGCAATTCTAGGATCTAATTTTGAAAAATGTAAATTTTCTATTTATTCGACGATATGTACGCTCGTACGAAGCCGGGCGGGTAGCTAGTATGTTATAAAACAATCATTTAATTCGTCATAATAATAACACTTATGACTAAAGCAGATTCTCTATAGGTAACTGTAACCTTTCCTTATAGTGAAGATGATTTTCCGTAAGTAAAACCCGGTCTCAATTAGATCACCGCACCGCACGGATCTTCCTGTACCCTGTTCCTACCCCCCCCCCCCCCTCCTACCCCACTCTAGGTAACATTTTAGAAGTTTAGCTACCTGTTACAAGGTTCGCTATAGCCAACTGCATTATGAATTACGATAGTTTGTAAATAGTGTGCCATAAAGATATTTACAGGAGAAATATATTAAACAGGTCTGTCTCTTTATCATTTGCCTGACAATATAAAGTTTTTTTTTTCGGACTACTCTATGCTGTTGGCCGCAGCTGGCCTTTACAGCTTCACCGGACGTTATGGGGCGAGTGCAGATGGCACTCCAAACCCGCGGAAGGACTTATGGAGCGGCTGAAGGCCAACTCCCGCCTGACGGATATGACTTTAGTCTGAGGGCACCACTAGGGGTTCGAATCTCGGCTCAGGCCGTCATAATTTCGATCCCCGTTTGAATTGGACGGGGGATCGATCGATAAAGTTGTTGAACGAGCGAGCTTTTAAATTAAATTTAACCAAATGGCTATTGGCACATTTTTATAGTGTCAGAGAATATATTGAATTTAGTAATTTAATGCATCATCTATAGTAATTATATATGCCAATAATTCCAATGACATGTTTATTTTAATTTAATTATTGATTAATCAGAATGACAAATATATTAATATATAAAAAATTGCACGCCTGTATGCAGGCTGAATATACTGGACATTATATTTAATATTGTATACACCTATAAGCACTATATTCTGCGAATAAATGATTTGATTTGATTTGTATGCGCTTTTGAGAAAAATAATTTACCTGACGTCTCTATGGTCAAGTTGTCAACAATCCATCAGCCAAGTTCGAATTTGTTTGTTTGCCTCAAGAAAGTGCCACCCGGGGCATGGGCCCCGTGAATTGCTTTATGATAGTTTTAAAAAAGTCACGAAAAAGTTTCGCTCTGCGAAAAATGATTTACTTGCCGTCTCTGTCCGATCAAGTTGTTAAGCCAAGTTTGAATTTATTGCCCTAGGAACGTGCCCCGCCATGCCCTAGATCCGGGACTGCACCACACTTAGTGTTAAATATCCCACTTTGAATATTGACTCAATATTATAACTGTTTGGTTTTGTTCCGTTGCCTGTAGTCCATTTTAAAAGGTGAAATAACTTTGGCGCCAAAATACTGACATAAAATAAAAAAGTAATAATATTATATTAATAAAGATTTAAGAGGACAAGAGTGAATTACATAGTTAATATATTGTTATATTATTTAAATGTAAAAATAGTAATTTGATGTATATGGGTCGTTCTTCTTTTTAACCTACAAAAAGGTGTCTTCATCAGTTAAAAAAAAATATAATCGAAAATTATCCGTATTATTTTATTATTAATGTTTCAATATGTACTGTACTAAAAATGTAACGGCTATACACGTTCACAATAAATAAACATTTATATTTTTATAATAAAAAATACGTTACAGAGTCGTCAATTCGCGTGACAGAGGTGTATTTCATACAAATCATAGCTGTCTCCCGCTACCTGAGCCTGTGTTTAATTCATAATGGTACGAAAAAATATAAAGACAGTAGCAAATATAAAAGTATTTTTTAATTCTACAAGATATAGTTCATTTTGTTGTACTGACTAAAAATTTTTGACATTTCTAATAAAAAAATAGAAAAATCTTAAAGTCTTGTCTTTCACTACATACTGTTTTAATGGGTATATTCGGTCACATGTTTTTTAATTCGAGCGACGCGTATACGCGGGTCGCTTTTGTTGCCGTCGATTGGATATTTAGTCCTTCCTATCCCTTGCTGAGATAAGCTCTCTAGGACTTAGAGATTGCGCGTAAGTCGCCCGGAATCTGTGTATGGAGGTGCGTGTGTTTATTCGGCGACAACTTCGTCACGTAAGTATTGGACAATAATATATCAATTACAGTTAATTCTTGTTATTTAACTTTTGCGTAATAAGAAACACTTTCATGCCAACCTGTTACGTTTGTATTTTGTGGTAACGTTTACATATTAATAATTTTGTAAGTAAGATTTACCCCTCCGTCACGCTACTACTTCGTCACAATAAAATTGTGACGGAGTGGTAAAGTACGTGACGGATGGGTAAAAAATACTTGCAAAGAATATAATATTTATTTTATCTCATAAAATATAAGAATCTGTTGAAACAGGGCCAGTACTTATTATGGCAACTATTTCTATATAAAGTTTATCTAGTGTTTTTCTAATGTTTACGGATTTATTTACATATTTTCTTTCTTAAGATATTATTATGACGAAAAAGAAGTCATTAACAGCAGAAAAACAGCGGCGTTGCCGTAAGATACGAAAAAGTTATACAGAAAAGGTAGCTGAAGTAAAACGCAAACATCTCGAGAGATATCATACTCGTAAGAAGCTTGTGGCTGACATGACTGTGAGAGAACATCGTATGATGAAGAGAAAATAGCGACAAGAAAAGAAAAACAAACATACGCTTGAAAACATACTGTTGAACACGCCGGCTCCATCCCCATCCAGAAATACGTCCTCATTCTGCAACACCAACTAATTCCGAAGTGTCTAACTCAAGAGGGAGGAAGACAGTGAAAAGAGATAGAACACAGAGAAGTTATACAGAGAGAATATTAGCCTCTGCCTGAAACAGAATCCAATGTTGACAATATGTTGGACTAGTTGTTTCCTAACGAAAAAGAAGATGTTGCAATTCATGAAGTGGAGGATTTGTCGCTCACGATATTACGAACAAAATTGGGATGCCTCGAAAAAGATTTTATGATATTATGTATGAATCATCTGAGGAAGATCAGCCATTGCACACATATATGCAAGCAAAGATTCCTCTAATCCAACGACCTTTTCTAATACTTCTTAAGAAACACTTCACCTCAAGGCCTTTCATCATAGGAATATAGAAGACGGTGTACATGTACTCGTTAAAGTAAAAAGTGAATTAAATTATCAATATAGGTACATACGTCACATAGGCGATGTTCTGGTGATGTTCTTGAAAACAGTCGATGATTGTGGAAGATTATTTATTAGTGGAGATGACTTATCAGATGTTCCGTATGAGGATTTGATTAAAATTCTATCAAATCCAAAAGTAGTTAAAAAAGGAAAGAGACGGTTTTTTGAATTTGATGAGCTTTTGCCAGTGTTCCAAAAGTAAGACTGATTAGGACAAGTATGACTGAAGAAAGTAATTTGTTGATGATGATTATTATTTTATTTTAATTTTTCAGTCAAGTTAGATATTTTTTTTATTTGAGACAAGTTAGAAGTCTTATAATTTAATTATACTAATACGGATCTCCTTCCAAAGGTTCTGTAATGTGATTTTATTAGTATGAGAGTATTTCAGTTGTAAGAATGTAAGGCTGTCAAATATTTAATTATTCTAAAGAAGTAATAAATGATTCTAAATAAAATATTCATTTAAAACTAGTTTTATTCCAAAATATAACCGGATATTATATAGAATAACAACTCTATCACATACTCTACCACTCTGTCACGATATGTCTCCTGGTTTTAAAATTTATATAGCCATTTTAATATTTTCTTATGAATAGTACAATTTCGGAAAAATTATATTAAAAATAGTTAACTATAATATAGTCTACGACATTAATATTTCTGTGCTAGAAGTGGTTAAAATTGAATTATAGCAAAAATATACTTCTAAAAAACTGCAATTGTGACAGAATGGTATAAGATTAAAAATATATATTTATTGTTATATACAGAAGTCTTGCCTTGTAAGTTTTCTAAAAGGACTATTTGATTATTATTGTAAAAAGTTATTTGCAAGCTATCTGAGTTAAACTATTTGATACAAAAAAATAAAAGATATTGTGACGGAGGTGTACAATTATTCGCGCAATCCTGCTTTAAGGCCTCGAAAATCGTACAAAAATTTGTAAACTTCGCGGCCAACAACTTTTTCAGATAGAATAGACATTCAGCTATCACAAAACATACAAGATTTGACTAGAAAGCGCTATATTTTTTTTTGGAAATTTGAGTAAAAATTTTAAGATCATGTAGGTTAAAAAAAATAATGACCCATATACAATTGTTTTGTATATATAATAATATGTAAATAAAAAATAATTAAAAACATTTTATTAGTATAGATCCTATAACTATTTATTAAAGAAGATACCCTAACAAACACTTAGTTTAACAACAATCTGCAGAATTTCCCAAGCAAAACAGGAAACGCCACTACACATCCTCTGTGGTTGTAGCCCACTCATGCATAAACGAAATATTTCCTTTGGAAAACATATGCTTTTTTTTAATACTATGATGGTAGCAATCTAGCATACGGCCCATCTGATGGTAAATGGTTACCGTAGCCTATGAAGGTATACTCTGAGGAGATAAAAACCATCGCTCCTAAGAATATTTTTATAATTTTTTGTCCGTGACGGGTCTAGTTAGCGAAGTTTGAAAAAGGGCGAGCACAATAGATCTATGTAGGTCCCAGTGCTAAGCAGCTGACAGTATTTTTAAGGATTTTGGGTACAATACCTATAGAAAAAAGTACAGTAGGTACAATATGTAGGTATAGTTTCGTTATTAAATGTTACTATTATATTTTTTAGCGCATTAAAAACATTTATACAAGAAACGGAAAGAGAAGTAACTATAAAAGCACCATGGGGCAACATAAGAGGTACGTATTTTTTATTATTACGACATTTTTTTATATACCTGATATCGTAAACAAGGTATGGCCTACAAAAAATCAAAATATCTTTATCCGTGTAGGTCTATTACAGACTCTTAAGATATGTGAAATTTACCGTCAGTTTGGAGTGATTTCGAGATGAGAAGAACTGACAAGAAACTCCGCTCGTATTGTTTTCAAATGAGCTTGTATATGATTACAAAAACATTCAATTCAGATTCATTTTTAAATTCTAATTCGGGAGAGTAAAGGGACTATAGAGTTGCTATTGCAATTTCGACAAAAGGTCTAATCAGTGGCGGTAACCCGAACAGATCCCTACAATCAGCACCCATTTAATAATAATAATAATGGCAATGGCAGGTAGAAACAGTAAAAACTTTCCCAATTATTATTTCGTCCACACGTGTTCCAACAACCTTACACTCTAGCCTCAAAATATTACAGCTTCCCCACTTACTTTCATACTTCTCCAAACCAAAGGAGTAGCTGTAATTCTAAACACTTGTAGAATAGTCTGCAAATTTTTGTCATCGTAATCATTTCTTTTATAATTGTCATTGTTTGGTGATATTCACCCGCAATGACAAGTTTAACACCCCATCAAGGGGAGATATAATATATATATATAAACAACAACATTAATAATAATAATAATCATTTCTTCAGCATCATAGTACAGAGTAAAAAATAAAAAAAAAACTAATATTTCGCTATGAGCTGAAAAGGCTTCCACTCAGCTGGTGCCGCAGCGTGTCACTACAGCGCTGATTTTCAGTGGAGCCACTTGAAAAAAAAAGAATAAAATAGCATTCGTGATCAATTTAATTATCTAAAATGAAGAATGAGTTAAATGGATGAATTATAAATGAATGTGTGATAAATTGAAAAAAAATATATAAGGATAAAATTTCGTAAAAGTGTTTATTGAAAGACTCTTGTGTAATATAATATAGTTTGAATATAATATAAGTAACATATTTATTTATTTATTCAATATATGTGTATATATAAATACTGCATTTATCTGCCACGTTTAAAAGACGAAACTGACTAAATAGTATTTTGAATCGGGGTGGTAAATTGTTCCAGCATTTCGTGGCAGTATATTAAAATAAGTAAAAAAAAAATCATCATCATTGCCTTGCCTTTATCCCATTATTTGGGGTCGGCGCAGTATGTCATTCTCTTCCACTGCTCTCTATCGGTCGTCATATCTAAACATACTCTTCTTTTATTCATATCATCTTTCACACAATCTATCCATCTTTTCTTAGGGCGTCCCCTTCCTTTACATAAATAACCATAAAAAAAAAATTAAAAAAAAACTTCCACGAAATGCTGCAGTTTTATATTGAGGGTTTAATATTCATTTACGTGTATGAGATGGTGGTAAGTGGTAACTGTCGCCTATATACATAAACAGCAACTACGTTATAATCTAACGCCTGTGATACCACTCATGCGTCGTCATTCGTGAGGACTGAGATGTCATGCCTCTTATTGCCATTATTTACCCCTCCCAAGAACGATCCCCAAACATGAAACCTGGATCGTGGTTCCTTTGGCAGGTAACAGGTAACAAAGGTGTAAAAAAATTCATATCAAATTCGTTATTTTAAGAAACTCTATATTTTGATATATTGTTCGTAGCATTATTTATAACTTGTGGCGGCGTGGTGGGCCGGGTCGATGTGCTCCCTCAAATATGGTTGAGTACAATGATGGCTGGCTCATACGTCATACTCGTGAACGGGTGCTGCTTGTGGGGACTGGTCTGTTCAGGTTGTGAACACTGATTAAATTTTTTGTTCTTTGCGATAGCATATGCTGGTGGTCACTCTATTCTCCCAAATTTGAATTTTAATAACTGTATTTATCATAAACCTGTTCCGCTATTATTTGAAAAAAAATACGAGCTGAGTTTCTTGTCAGTTCTTCTCATCTCGATATCATTCCGAACTGACGGTAGATTTGACATATCATAAGAGTCTGTAATAGACCTACATGAATAAAGATATTTTGAATTTTAATTTGAATTTGAATTTATTATAACTTGCGCTGCTCATTGCCAGACACTTAGTGTGGTTCAACCCCCCGCCGGACCCCCCTAAAGTATACTATTTTATAAATAAAATTACCATTACCCCTCCCATTCCCCTTGTCAGTAAAAGCAAGCAGAGCTCTTATACCCCCATGCTTACGTAAACGTTTCAATTAATGTATTGTTTTTTAGCAAAGATAATGTGAGGGTTGCCATTTGTGTAAAAAATGCCGATGACGTACCTCCCCAGCCCCCCAATAGTGCTTACGTAATACTTGAACGGCCCTTTATCCAGTATTATCTTTTTATATGTATGTATATAAAATTCTCGTGTCACAAGGTTTCATGTTTATAATCCTCCAAAACGACTTGACCGATTTTGATGAAATTTTGTATGTGAATTTTATATATTAGAAAATAGCTATATATGATAGAAGGAAATACTATTAACTAGGGCCAGGAAGGAAACCGGAAGGAACCATACAAAGTAGTGACAATTTAGAATAGAATTATATACATATAAATAAAATTGGAGCGTCTGTTTGTAATATTGAAATAACCGCTTTTTACTACGTACATATGAATACGGTACATACACCAAAATAACATTTTTCATAATTTTTGTCTGTATGTCTGTCTGTCTGTTTGTTCTGGCTAATCTCTGAAATGGCTTGACCGATTGTTACGGGATTTTTTTTGGCAAGTAGCTGATGTAACAAGGAGTAACTTAGGCTAAGTACTTTTACTTTAGAAAAATAAAGTTAAGTTCCACGCGGACGAAGTCGCAGGAACAGGTAGTTTGAAATATGTAGCTTATAAAATAGAACGTAGACTAAATAAGTGGTATTGCACAATTTGGTATGAAAGAGGAATAAACAACAATACTTAAAATCTGCATTTACAATATTAACAGGATGAATATATAATTTCATTATTACATCATTAGTGTATATGTCACTACAGCTGGAACTATGTATACAATTATAATAATATCCCAAAATAATTCACACAGCGCCATCTAGTCTCACTATTCACACACTTATACTTAAAAATGTAAAGTAATACTAAAAAAAAGAGCAACACGCAAGTTTTTGCTCGTTCTTCTTGTGATGAGACAGCTTTCCGAATGAGCGGTAGATAACAAAATGTGATGACTATTCAAAAGTGCTTCAATGTAACCTACATTGAAGCACTTTTGAATAGTCAATAAATTATTTTCTATTCTATTCTATTCTCAAGAATAGAATAGAATAGAAAATCATTTATTCAAATAAACTGCATTTAAGTACTTTTGAATAGTTATAACATTTTTTTATCTACCGCTCGTTTGGAAAGCTTCAAGAAGAACGAGCAAGAAACTTGTGTGTCAAGTTAAGCACAGCTCGTGTTATGGGTCTAAAAGCTTTCTATATAAGAATATATTATTAACTAGCTGTTCCCGCGACTTCGTCCGCGTGGAGTAAAACTTTAATTTTCTGAAATAAAAGTTGCCTAAGTTACTCCTTATTACATCAGCTACCTGCCAAAAAAGTTCTGTCAAAATCGGTCCAGCCATTTCAGAGATGTTCCATCTAGGAACAAACAGTTATATGTCAAATTTACATAGTATCGTTTTATATTATAGCCTATGTGTTATTCTGATGTATAAGCTATATTACTGTAAAGTTTCATTATAATCTGTTCAGTAGCTTTTACGTGAAAGAATAACAAACATCCATACTCACAAACTTTCGCGTTTATAATATTAATAAGATGTTTATTTGAAATAATATATATGTATAATAATAATAGCCCTGTACGATGTCAGGTCATCCTCCACGCGGTTCCCCCTGGAAACCATCGTGTTAAATTCCTGGTGAATCTGTCACGATGGGCTAACTGACCTGACCTCATGCTCATCTTATCATCCTCCACTAGGGCCCCGCCAGCGTAAACCTTTAGCGCAAGCGGGTGCACCATTCCATTATCATCCACAAATAAAAAATACATAGGTACTTTTTTTTTAAATGCTCAGCAAAACAAATTATACTCATGAATAATTGTTTGTAACGTGCGAGAAATCGAACCCGCGACCATTGGAAGTAAGGCAGTGATAAACCACTAGACTACGAGGTAGTGGTGATATTGATTCTATTAGTAAACACTTACGTATGCTTAGTCTAAGGTTAAAGTCCAACTTATATCTACATGTCTACGACTATAAATGACATTGACGACCTCGATGGTCTAGCGGTCTAACACACCGCTTTACGTCCGATGGTCGCGGGTTCGATTCCTCGCACGGCACAAACATTTGTATTCATGAGTATGATTGTTTGTGTCGGTCTGGGTGTTTTCTATGTATATTAAGTATGTATTTACGAAAAAAAAATATCTATGTATTTGTATCAGTTATCTAGTACCCATAACACAAGCTTTAGCTAGCTTAACTTGGGTCTAGATGGTGCTGTGTGAATTGTCCTGAGATTATTATTATTAGAAAAGCGAAAGATTATTTTCAAATTAAAACTAAGAATAATATTGCCAACTACAGAAGGCTGTAATTTATACATACATACATACATATAAATAAAATTGAAGTGTCTGTTTGTTATATTGAAATAATCGTTTTTTACTACATGCATATGAATATAAATACGGTACATAGAAGAAAATATTTTTTTTTACCATTTTCTGTCTGTCGGTCTGTTTGTTTCGGCTAATCTCTGAAATGGCTGGACTGATTTTGACGAGACTTCTTTGGCAGATAGCTGATGTAATAAGGAGTAACTTAGGCTACTTTTATTTTAGAAAAATAGAGTTAAATTCCACGCGGATGTAAGTAAGGTACAGCCAATACTAAATACAACTATAGTTTTTTTTAATGAGTGATAATGGAATAGTGCACCCGCCTGCGCTAACGGTTTACGCTGGCGGGGCACCAGTGGGCACCATGAGGTCAGGTCAGTTAGCCCATCGTGACAGTTTCACCAGGAATTTGGCGGGTGCACCATTCCATTATCATCTATATAAAAACCCAGTCTCAACTAATAAACTCGATCTCCACGCGGTTCCCCCTGGAAACCATCGTGTTAAATTCCTGGTGAATCTGTCACGATGGGCTAACTGACCTGGCCTCATGTCATATTATCATACTTCACTGGTGCCCCGCCAGCGTAAACCGTTAGCACAGGCGGGTGCACCATCCCATTATCATACGTATACAAAAAAAACTTCTCAATACCTACAATATTCACAATTTCATATCCCATATTTGTTTCATTATAATAAACACTCCAACCTTCTCGTCATCAGTTCAATGTATCCATGAATCTACTTGTCAAAGTCACAAAGATTATTTAGTCTCTGCCGTTCCGTTTCAGGTTACTCTGAATGCCTTAGATAAAGGAACAGGATTATTGATTCACCATTTTTATTTAACACCCTTAGCACCAGACCCTAAGTGACGATTCTTAAAAAAAACTATATATTTTTTTGTTCAGAAGTCTTTAAAACTACATATTGTTATTCGCCCCTCGTTTCGCTCCTTTTTCTTGGATTTTTATGGGCTTTCATTTTGTGTAACAAATGTATAGAAAGTTTTTCTTTTTTTCGGACTACTCTAATGCTGTTGGCCGTAGCTGGCCTTTACAGCTTCACCGGACGTTAGGGGCGAGTGCAGATGGCACTCCAAACCCGCGGAAGGACTTATGGAGCGGCTGAAGGCCAACTCCTGCCTGACGGATACGACTTTAGTCTGACGGCACCACTAGGGGTTCGAACCCCGGCTCAGGTCGTCGTAATTTCGATCCCCGTTTGAATTGGACGGGAATCGATCGGAGGGGACAGTGTTCCGGACACTGTGTGACAAGATACACATGACGCTGGGTTGTTAATGGTGCCTTACACGATTGTTAACAGATTTATTCATCGATGCTCACAAATTGCGTTTATATTATTGAGGTTGCAATATTTATTTTCAGCCTTATCCTGGGGCAACCCGTCCAATCCCCCAGTATTACTCTGTCACGGCAGAATGGACGCGTGCACCTCATTCCGTCCCCTGGCCAATTTGCTGCCAGATTCTTTGTTCTACGTGTCCGTTGACTTGCCAGGGAACGGTCTCTCCGATCACCTGCCCAAAGGGGTACAATACGGTATATTAGATTTTATACCTACGGTCCTGCAGATTAAGGATCATTTTAAATGGAACAACTTCACGTTCGTTGGACATTCTATGGCAGTTATGATTGGTAAGTATAATTTTTGCTGTAATTGTAAACTAGCGGTGTCCTCGGATTTGTCCGTTTGTATCAAAATCTGTAGGTTTTGACCTACTTTAGATAGATAGATAATTGATTTATTGCCAACATAACACAAATAAAACAATTTACGATAAGTCACAAAATAAGAAATAAATAATAACATAGAAAGTTGGCAATAAGAGCTGTCTCAGCTGTTGCTGATATAAGCACAAGCTCAATGAGGTGCACCTATACAGCGCTGGCTTTCAGGCAGCCCCCATTACTCATTAAAAGAAAAAAAATTAAGATGCGGGTTTTTTACTATATACAGATACATATAAATTAAACAAAAAAATATATTAAATACGATCTAGGGTACAGAAATATAAATATGAATATATAAAATGAATTACAATATTCAATGCTCACAAAAACCAAAATCAGTTTATATTTAGAACTGTTCTAATGCTGTTGACTGCAGCAGTCCTTTACAGCCTCACCGGACGATAGGGGGCGAGTGCAGATGGCACTCCAAACCAAAGGAAGGACTTATGGAGCGGCTGAAGGCCAACTACCTGATGGATATGACTTTATTGATGAATTGAATTCGATGGGGGAACAATCGGGGGTCTACCGGTCGCGCCTGTGTGGAGCGCCTGATTGTATTAGTGTGGTTAAAGTCGTTGTCTTCACCAGCGAGGACGGTGTCGTGTGTCTCTATATATATGTAGTGGGAACTGAACGGGTGGACTGTAGGGACGTTAGCTGCCGTTATGGGGTCATTGGGGCCAATAAGAACCTTCGGCGGCATTCGACCATACTATAGAGTATTATTGAGCGGTTGAACCTTCTTTGTAACTTCCGTCTAACGAATACGATTTTAGTTTGAGTCTCAGGCCGTCGTAATTTCGATCCCCATTTGATTCCTGCCCCCATCCCCCCACAAAACAGTAAGAGGGTAGCGGCGCGTCCGTAATATCTCGTCTTAAAAAGTTTAGGTAACTCAATCCGTTATATCTCGTCTCACTCTGTTTAAAAAGTCTCGGTAACTACTTTTCTTATTTGCAGGAAAACTATACAATATAGCGCACCCTGGCGTCGCTTTCTTTACAATGAAAGTGTTTTATACGTGTTTGAATATTATTTTCAGGAAAACTATACAATATAACGCACCCCGGCGTCATTTCCCGTAGTGTAGATCTAGACCCTTTCCCGGCCTACTTTACGTTCAAATTCGATGACTTGCGGCCGTGGTACAGATATTTCTATGACGGTTTCTACAGCGAAGATAATTACAAGAAAATCAATGCAGGATTGGAAACTGCAAGGAAATATACATATGAAGAGGTACATACGTATTTTTAAGTAAATTATGTTTATTTATTAATAATTAGATGTACTCGCGAGTTGGTCCGCGTGGAATTTAACTTTTTTTTTTTAAATAAAAGTAGTCAAATTACTCCTTATTAAATCAGCTACCTGCCAAAAAAAGTCCCGTTAAAATCGGTCTAGCCAATTCAGAGATTAGCCGGAACAATCAGACAAACAGACAAAAATTGTAAAAAATGTTATTTTGGGGTATGCACCGTATTTATATTCATATGTATGTAATAAAATACGGTTATTTCAATATTACAAATAGACACTCCAATTTTATTTATATGTATAGATTATTCTTGGAGTGAACTATTTGACGCACCGCTTTACTTTTGATGGTCGCGAGTTCGATTCCTCGCACGTATTTTTGCACGTGTATTTGTATTTATAAGTGTGATTGTTTATATATATGTTTTCTATGTATATATTTACAACAAAAAAATATATAAGTATTAGTTGTTTTGCATTTTATAACATAAACTTACCTTCAAGATAACATTTTTTTTACTGATGATAATGGACTGGCACAGTCGCCTGCGCTAACGGTATACGCTGGCGGGGCACCAGTGGAGGATGATAAGATGAGCGTGAGATCAGGTCAGTTAACCCATCGTGCCAAATTCACCAAGAATTTATCATGATGGTTACTAGGGGAACCACGTGGAGGTCAATTGATGAGATGACGATGAGAGGAGATGGTATATTGTTAGCAATGGGTTCAATAATTTACATTACTAAGAATCCCATTGCCCGCAACACTGTGGGTATTATCTTTGGTTATTTTTATTATACCCTATAATTTCACTGCCTAACCGTTCAAGCCAAAATTACCCAATATAATAATCTCAGGACAATTCACACAGCGCCATCTAGACCCAAGTTAAGATAGCTAAACCTTGTGTTATGGGTACTAGACAACTGATACAAATACATAGTTATTTTTTTTTATAAATACATACATATTATACATATAAAACACCCAGACGGATACAAACAATCATACTCATGAATACAAATGTTTGTGCGTGTAAGAATCGAACCCGCGACCATCGGAAGTAAGGCGGTGTGCTAAACCGCTAGACCACCGAGGCCGTCAAAAACAGCTTACAAATCAAGCTGCTTGGCGGCTGAAATAGCTGAGATTGAGGTACATATTATTGGGAAGTTACGCGACAATCTCGCCCGAGGCACGTTCTCATTGCCCCGACGACTCCATAACGGCTGGTAACCTCCCCACCCGTTCCACCCCGACCACACTTTTACACACACACACGACACCGTCCTCGCCGGCGAAGACGACGACCTCAAACACACAATATCGCGCATTCAACCGGGCGCTCCACACCGGCGACCTCCGATCGATCCACCGTCCAATTCAAACGGGAATCGAAATTACGACAGCCAGAGCCGAGGTTCGAACCCCTAGTGGTGCCGTCAGACTAAAGTCGTATACTTCAGGCAGGAGTTGACCTTCAGCCGCTCCATAAGTTCTTCCGCGGGTTTGGAGTGCCATCTGCACTCGCCCCCTAACGTCCGGTGAAGCTGTAAAGGCTAGCTGCGGCCAACAGCATTAGAGTAGTCCGAAAAATAAACTATTGGGAAGTTTCAGAAATGATATGTCGATGCAGCAGTACTTTTATTTCATTCCTTGTTCATATTACACTCCACATAAATTGCGTCGCTGTACATTCACGTCTGGTCGCCTCGAACAGAGAGAGCAGCCCGCTCCCTCCTGTTCCCGGCCTCTTTATCTCTATTACTATTGGTGGCGGTATAATCGTGACGCCACATCGCAACATCACGTGACTCACTATAGTTTTAAATTTGAAATGTAAGTAACAAATTAGTCAACTGACTGTTCTCTATGTATTGAAGCTAACAATACTTAGTCGAGTTTGTAGAAAGTAGGCTACGGTAAATTAAAGTAAAGTTTCTTTATTTTTTTATAGGTTCTTCAACTTACAATGAAGGCTAGAGGATTGTCAAAGGAAGCAGCTGAGGAAATTCTAGAAAGATCTCTGGTACCCGCGGGTGAAGGTCTATACAGGTAACGTAATCTTGAAATAACAACCAAAAGTATGAGGACTTAGGCTTTGAAGCCGGCTACCGCAAGGGAAACCCCAAGTAGCGCCCGTGACTTGTGACACGGGTGTAGGTTTAAAAGGCCTTTTTAGAATGCATTAACACTCACCTTCACTACCTGCAGCTTCCCCCCAGACCCATCTAAGACCGAATAAACCCATTTCTAATACAATTCAGCAACAGAACGTACCGGTTGTATTCAGTATCCGAAATACAACCGGCACGTTCTGTGCTTGTCGACTGAACGCCGTGACTTATTCAACGAAAGAGAATAATTCAAAATTTTTTTTCGGACTACTCTAATGCTGTTGGCCGCAGCTGGCCTTTACAGCTTCACCGAACGATAGGGGGCGAGTGCAGATGGCACTACAAGCCCGCGGAAGGACTTTGGAGCGGCTGAAGGTCAACTCCTGCCTGACGGATACGACTTTAGTCTGAGGGCACCACTAGGGGTTCGAACCTCGGCTCAGGCAGTCGTAATATCGATCCCCGTTTGAATTGGACGGGGGATCGATCCGAGAATTATTCAACTACCGTCCTCCGTATTTATAGACCGAAGTCAGTGTAGTAGGCAGAGAAGTGAGGTAGCGGTTATCGTATGACAAACAACTTAGTTCGGTCTAGAAATACTAGATGGCGCTATTTACAATATTTGTTATAATCTTTACATTGGGTACTTCATTTGTACTAAACACTAACTACCTTCTTTTAATATCTTTTTAAATTATCAGAGTTTTATGCAATATTGATGTGAACCCCAACAAAAGTATTGTGTATAATTAAATAATATACCTTTACACCTGTTATTAGAGCGGATAGAGTCATCGCCAACTGTCGATATTGTGTTGAACGCAACTTACTTACGACTGACGTGTACACATTGCGCTCTGTATATATTTCAATAAAAATATACATCACTAGATGGCGCTAGTCTCAAGCCTACTTGCGAGTCATGTTCTCCTGGTACTTCCACTGTATATTTGAATAAATTACTCGATATATCTGAATCAAATAAATGCATCAATCACTCCAATAGATGGCGCTAGTCTCTAGCCTACTTGCGAGTCCTGTTCTCCTTGTACTTTCACTTTATATTTGAATAAATTAGTCGGTATATCTGAATCAAATAAATGCATCAATCACTTCAATAGATGGCGGTAGTCTCTAGCCTACTTGCGAGTCATGTTCTCCTGGTACTTTCACTGTATATTTGAATAAATTACTCGATATATGTGAATCAAATAAATGCATCAATCACTCCAATAGATGGCGGTAGTCTCTAGCCTACTTGCGAGTCATGTTCTCCTGGTACGTTCACTGTATATTTGAATAAATTACTCAATATATCTGAATCAAATAAATGCATCAATCACTCCAATAGATGGCGGTAGTCTCTAGCCTACTTGCGAGTCATGTTCTCCTGGTACTTTCACTGTATATTTGAATAAATTACTCGATATATCTGAATCAAATAAATGCATCAATCACTCCAATAGATGGCGGTAGTCTCTAGCCTACTTGCGAGTCATGTTCTCCTGGTACTTTCACTGTATATTTGAATAAATTACTCGATATATCTGAATCAAATAAATGCATCAATCACTCCAATAGATGGCGGTAGTCTCTAGCCTACTTGCGAGTCATGTTCTCCTGGTACTTTCACTGTATATTTGAATAAATTACTCGATATATCTGAATCAAATAAATGCATCAATCACTCCAATAGATGGCGGTAGTCTCTAGCCTACTTGCGAGTCATGTTCTCCTGGTACTTTCACTGTATATTTGAATAAATTACTCGATATATCTGAATCAAATAAATGCATCAATCACTCCAATAGATGGCGGTAGTCTCTAGCCTACTTGCGAGTCCTGTTCTCCTGGTACTTTCACTGTAGTATCAACACGACTGTTATATTTCATGGGGTAGTCAGAGTCATTAGCAACTGTCGTAGTTGTGAACGCACCACTTGACATGTGCACATTGCGCTCGGTATATGTGAATTAAATAAATGCATCACTCCAATAGACGGCGGTAGGCTATAGCCTACTTTCGGGTCATGTTCTCCTGGTACTTTCACTGTAGTATCAGTAATAAATAGTATGATAACTTCACGACTTATCTTTGATGGGGTAGTCAGAGTCATTGTCAACTGTCGATGTTGTTGTAAACGCAACACTTGACATGTCGTTTCACTACTTAATGTTGTTTTGTCCAACAAATATGCATATAAAAAAAGTCGCTGTCGCTGTCTGTCCGTCCTTATGTATGCTTAAATCTTTAAAAGTACGCAACGGATTTTGAAGCGGTTTTATTTTAATACAAGAGGAAGGAATTTGTATATATATATATAATACATGTACACCCGGGCTGCGACGGGTCGAGTAGCTAGTTTCATATAAATCGATCAAGCCGTTTCGGAGGAGAGGAAGATTATCTATAGAGGTAACAGAGGTAGAGGTAGTAGGAGGTAGACCTTGCTGTCATATAATTTTTTTTTTCTTTTCAGATTAACATATGACCAAAGAAACAAAACTATAACCGCGCCGCCATTTTCAGCTGATAACGTTAAATTAATGTACACCACACTATCTACACCGACTTTTTCTGTTCTCGCAAAAGAATCAATAAAAAATGGCCTATATAGCAAAGTGCCCTTCATTATGGACGAGAAGGTGTGGCCCAAAAACAATTTTAAGTTCAAAATCGTGGACGGAGGTCATGATGTCCACCTGGAGAACCCTCGCTGCATGGCAGAGGATATATCAAAGTTCCTGCTTCAAGGATAACCCAAGCCATATAAGTTATTTAGTACCCCTTTTTAGTAAAGTTGCTCGGACGGTGGAGTATGAAATTTCGCAAACTTATAGTTTAAATAGATAAGGAGACCAGAATGTTAATACTTTTTTTTTTAATCTATACATATATATAAAATTGGAGTATCTGTTTGTAATATCGAAATAACAGTTTTTTACTACATGTATATGAATATAAATACGGAACATATACCAAAATAACATTTTTACAATTTTTGTCTATTTGTCTGTCAGAAGACATTTTTTCTGGCCAGTTACTCACTGCACTGTTCTATACATATAAATAAAATCGGAGTGTCTGTTTGTAATATTGAAATAACCGTTTTTATACTACATGCATATGAATATAAATACGGTACATTCACCAAAATAATATTTTGTACAATTTTTGTCTATTTGTCTATCTGTTTCCGGCTAATCTCTGAAATGGTTGGAGAGATCTTGACGGGACCTTTATTGGTATGTAGCTGATGTAATAAGGAGTAACATAGGCTACTTTTATATTAGAAAAATTCTTTTATTTTAGAAAAATAAAGTTAAATTCCACACGGACGAAATTGCGTGTACATCTAGTCATAAATATAGAATACATGAATTCAATAAAAAAAACATTACACACACTAACATAATAATATATTTCACCAGCACCAGGTTGTCAGTTGCTTAAAAATATTTTATAATAAAAAATACGAGGTACCTATTTATCTATTTAATATTACTGCAGTTGGTAACCCTATTTTCGAATCGTCTATACCAGTGATTCCCAAAGTGGTCTATATCGACCCCCAGGGGGCTATGACAAACTGCAAGGGGTCTACGATAGCGGTCATCTTGTTGTTTTTAACACTAAACTTTATTACGTGTAGAAATTTACAAAAAATCAATTACAGGTAAGTAATTGGGGGGTCTACCCAAAACCGAAAAATATGGCACGAAAAAGTTTGGGAACCTCTGGTCTATACGATAAGAATAATTATGTAAACGATATGTAAATAAGTATATTATCACCTTTAACGACATATTACAACTTTTTAATTATTTTTTACTTCTCTTTATTTTACCAAGCATATTAATTACGTTATATCTGACTATAGACAGACCGACTCCTTCATAGAAGTTATCTTAGCGATGGATCACATCTTTTTACTCGACTAGCTGTTACCCGCAATTTCTATTGACCAGATGAAATTTCATTAACTTGTTCTCCGATTAGTCGCGAAAAAGTAAATCATTATCATTACATAGTATAAAACAAAGTAGCTGTCGCCGTCTGTCTGTCGCTATGTATGCTTAAATCTTTAAAACTACGCATTTTGAAGTGTTTTAGATTCAAGAGGCGAAGCCGGGGCGAGTAGCTATTATTTTTTATTTCTGACCAGAAATAAATGATAGTCTATGGTTCTTGTTGTTCTAAATAAAAAAGTAGTAAATAAATAAAATTAAAGTAGTAAATAACATATACATATATTTAAAGACCGGCAGCGCACTTGCTATTGTCCTATTGTTGCGGGTGCTCATGGACAGCGGTAATAAATTACGTGAGATGATTCGAGTGAGGACAGAGGGGAGCGGGTCGAGTCAAATCACAGAAAATTAAAAAAAAAACCACGTAATTTATGGACGCCCTCTAATCACTTACCATCAGAGGAGCCGCAAACTCGTTTGGCCCCTATACTATAAAAAAGACAAATTTTCGAATGTATAATATTAGTATGAATATTTATTAATAAATTGTGAAATAAATATAATTTATAGTTGTTTTTTTGTTATTATATTTCAATTACCACCAGTTTCCATAAACAATAAAAGTCAGCCTGGGTCAGTTAACAATTAAATTTAAGAAAACAAATTATTAGTTTCTGGAAAACTGACGACAATGGCTGTATGGGCTGAGTCCTTTTGCTTTACCCTGAGATGGAAAATTGAACCAAACAAAAAAAATGTTTCTGTACATTGATTTGAAAACCATTGATTTGATGGACGAATATGGAAAAAAATTGATTTGAAATTTAGTTCAAGTTAAATAAATTAAAAAAAAGTTTCTTGACATTAATTTGAAATTTAATTGAAATTAAACAAATTTAAATTAAGAACGACAAATTATTTTTGAAATATTCTTTATTTCAATGGTTTTCTGAATGGCCTACGAAAATTATGCTATGCAAATAAAATTTCGAATTCGTAGTTGGCTGGTCCTTAGAACAAAACAATTGTTATATAAATCTACATAACCATTTTTTAGTACCTACCTATTGTATATTTACAGGCAATTAGTTTTAAGATAATTTTAAAATTTCCTCGTATCGTAATTTTAGTATGAAACGCTTTATCTGCACAAACTTTCATCCCCAATTTCAACCCTTCTACGTTTTTTACATGTCTACGTACGTCCATGTGATATTGTGTCATTTCAATCAAGAGCAATTTGAATATGAAACCGCCTGCACAAACTTTCATCCCCTATTTCACCCCTTTCCTTTTTTTACATGAAACAAATTTTATTCTTCGTTTATCCTGACTTGTTTTTGGATTGCATTGCCTAAATATTATTCAAAAATGAATTAGTGCTAGTTAGAGTCACTTTACTAAAAATTATTGTAAACTGAAGTCTTCATTTCGTTGACTTCCGCTGAAGTGGTTATTTATACAGGTGACTTTTTTTTGCCACCTGTATAAATAGCACATTTTATGCACATCTAACGGTGTCTATACACGATGTTTGGAATGGTGTACTGCCATAAAACTGTTACTATTCACCCCTTAAAGGAAGCCTATTAGCCATTTTTTAATTGTCAGTGATTTGTGCTTTCGCTTCTGATACATATGTGTGAATAAACAATGAACACATGCTATACTGCAGCGCTACCTTCATCACATGTAAGTAGTCACCCACCTCGACTACACTTTTAGACACACACACGAAACCGTCCTCGCCGGCGAAGACGACGACCTCAAACATACAATATCGCACATTCAACTGATCTGACTGACAACTGATCTTTATCGTATCATCCTCCACTGGTGCCCCGCCAGCGTAAACCGTTAGCGCAAGCGGGTACACCATTCCATTATCATCCACTATAAAATAAAAAAAAACTAAGCAATCATAATCAAAACTATACCCTTATGTCTCGAGTACAACAGTGGTGATGCGTACAAGTTCAAGTTCCGGATTACCGCGGGTCCACTGTATAGTCACTGTCACGCCTTATGTTTTTAATAGCATATTATCAATTTACAAATTCAAATATAGAACTAAATACTTTTGTCTCATTTCCATAGATTATTGATACACACAGTCGCATAGTCGGCAGACGCGGTTTAAAGTCTACGGCCTTGACCGTCCTATTTTTTTATCGTATCTTTCACAGATGATATAATACGCTGTCTGTGGTTATCTCATTCTATTACAAATAATGTTATCTAACTTTAAATTTTATTGAGTAACGCTTGGTTATTAGTTGACAATAGTTTGATATGAAAAATGAAAATTACGTGTGTGCGTTTATTTAAAAAGTAAGTACCTAAATAATAATTTCATACATATACCTACCATATCTAGAAAATTCTATACACTAGTTTATGTAATATTTATTTATAGGTTTACCTCTAATATAATATTTTTAAACTAAAATATTTGGCCTACAACTTAATATTTTTTTCCAAATAAATCAATAATAATTCAGTATTCATAACATTACACATTTGCGTAGTTTTTTTACTTTTTTGACAACTTCACTCTGACAGATGCATGCTGTGTCAGTGTTGCTAGGATTTAATTTCAGTTTACCCCATACTTCTATCTCTACAGACATTGCTTGTGTTGACAATATTTGATTTTGTTGCTTAAATATAAGAATTAAGAATTTTTAAAACTCGCTTTAGAGACCAATAAACAAAATCGATATGATTTTTATGGAACAGATGTAACAATTAATTGAAATATCGTTTTGGATCTTTTTTTTATATTATCGAATTTGTTGCCAGCATATTTAAAATGTATATATTTTCCATTAGCACTTTAAAAACTCCTCTTCAAAAATAAAATTCAAGCATTTAGGCTGTGCTCATTTTCCCATGTTTTTGTCTTATTTGTAAATAATTGCTTATGCTTTCAGTGTAGCAAAGACTATTATACAGCAAACAGAAAAGGAGGTCACTATAAAAGCGCCATGGGGTAACATTAGAGGTATGATAAAAACACGGCTTTGCCTCCAATGGGGTAGCAATTTTTTTATTTAAATAAGCTATTTTATAAAATTAGCTTAATTGAAATTTAATTTATAAAAATTTAGCATTACTTTTCAGCGTTGTCTTGGGGCAACCCGTCCAATCCCCCGGTGTTACTCTGCCATGGCCGACTAGACGCGTGCACCTCATTCCGTCCCCTGGCCAAGTTGTTGCCAGACACTTTGTTCTATGTGTCCGTAGATTTACCAGGCAACGGTCGCTCCGACCACTTGCCTAAAGGCGCAAGGTACACTGCAATAGATTTTGTACCTACTGTGCAGAAGATTAAGGATCATTTTAAATGGGAAAAATTTGCGTTTATAGGACATTCGTTGGGTGTCATTATAGGTAAGATTTATTTGTTTTAACTGTCATTATTCATTATAACGAAACTCTATAGGAGATTAATTTGCCTATAGTTAATACTAATGCCCAGTTTATTAATTATTTCTCTCTGAAAAAACAAATTATTTCACAAGTATTGTTCGGTAATAAACTTGTTCTAGTAATGATAGATATGTAAGTGCTATATAATTTATATAACAAAACTTCTCGCTCTATGCAGGAAAGTTCTACGATATAGCATATCCAGGAGACATCTCTCGGAAAGTGGAACTTGATCCTTTGCCAGCTTATTTAACATGTCCACCTGAGGATCTCAGCGAATGGTACAGATATAGCTACGAAAATTTCTATAGCGAAGATAGGTACCGGATATTGACTTCCGGTTTGGAGACTGCACCCAAGTACACGTATGAACAGGTTAGTATTATATGTACACTCGTATTGTAGACTTAATTATGTATTTATTTGTTTATTTAAACTTAAATAACAAATACAATACAATATATACATACGATGACCTTAACACCAATAAGCATTGTCTACCAGTCAACCATACGGCAAATAGACTAAATAGTAATCGACGCAATAACGTTTACAGATATACGTGGTTATTTTGTCGTCAAAATACATAGATATAACATCTAACTTACTTATGATATTGTAGTGTTTACTTATTTATTATTTAAGTCTCGTTATATCTTCTAGTATATTAGTTGTTATCTCTATAATATAGCTCGATAGCCTAAGCTACACGTCGTAAGTCCAGGGCATCCAGAGAGCAATATCCTCCTTATTTATTTATTATTAATATGAATACTCTCTCCTTACAATACTGATATTATAAATGTACCTGAGGTTTCTATTGAAATGTCAAAATTTTTAAGTTTATATTTTACAATAGTATAAAATTGTTCACAGGTTCTTAAAATGACGATGGAATCCAGAAGACTGTCAAAGGAACCAGCAGAGCAAATTCTAGAAAGGTCCTTGGTGCCGGCCGGGGACGGATTGTATAGGTAATTTAGATAAAAAAAAATTGTTATTCAAAATAGCTTAAATTAAGTTTATTTAAATAAATGATTTTCTATTCTATTCATTATGTTTTCAATTTAAATTTTTGAGATACAAATATTACAAAGTTCATTATACATTGGACCCCGCACTAGGCGCCAGTGACCTGTATCGCGGGGGTCCACAAAAAATTGCCAAATGTTAATAACTACTACAGATCAGTCTACTCACTGAGTAGATTTGACATATCATAAGAGCCTGCAATATTCCACACGAATGAAAATATTTTAATTTGATGTGATTTTGTAACAAAGCTTTCTATTTCCAGAATAACGTACGATCAACGGATGAAACTTTTGACAGTGTTGCCATACTCGCCTGAACAATTACAACAAATATATACATTATCAACTACACCCACGTTTTGTATTTTAGCCACAGACAGCATTCATGTTGGATTTTATGATAAAACACCATTTGTACGAGACGAAACACTTTGGCCCAATAAGAATTATAAGTGTACAATTGTCGAAGGTGGACACGATGTGCATGTCGAAAATCCACAATGTATGGCCAAAGATATATCTGATTTTCTATTAACATAGAATGAAATATTAATTTTTAATAGTCGAATATTAATATTTTTTATTAACATATAAGGAAACAGAAACAGAAGTATATATGTTTGTAAAAAATCAATATTTGATTTTTAAAAATAATTTATTTATTCACAGTATTTTATAGTTTTGGATCCACGAATCGTATCAAATATTTTTTTAATAATATGTGCTGAATAAAACATAATGCATTTGTTTTATTTCTAATCTAACTACTCGCCCCAGCTTTGCACGGGTGTACATGTATTATATATATAAAAATTCCTCTTGAATCACTATATATGTTAAAAACCGCTTCAAAATCCGTAATGTAATTAAAGATTTAAGCATATATAGGGACAGACAGCGATAGCTACTTTGTTTTGTACTATGTAATGATTACAAACTCTGGCCAGCTATGTTAATAAATTTAGTATTAATGGCCTTGTGAGGTAGCTATGTGCTATGACTCAACTACCCTCTTGCATTTGATTGTTAGTTAAGTGAAGTCATTCCCCATTGTTAGCAATGTACCTAGTCAGGTTGGTCCACGGGGTTCCACTTGAAAACCATCGTGATAATTTTCTGGTGAATTTGTCACGATGGGCCAACTGACCTGGTCTTATGCACATCTTTTCATTCTCCACTGGAGCCCCGTCAACGACAATTATTAGCACACACAGACTATTCCATCATCCATTTAAAAAAACGTTTAGTTGCCATTGAAATGAAAGAAGGAACCAACCATAAATTGCATAAAACATCTAGATAATTAATGAATAAAAAAAAATTGTATAAAATTTATTTATTTATATATTTCTCCGAAACGGATTACATTTAATTATTAAATGTAATTTTATATGTATACTCGGTAGATCTGAGTATACGGTGTTATCTATATTTTATACCCCTAAGCGATAAGGGTGACCCACCCCTAATAAATTATGATGTAGCATTAAAGTAGATACAATCCGAAATTCTCACTTCTCTGCCACCAACCCTTTTTCTTTTTAATATTAATTTTTATGACAAAACGTTTGTCAGGTCAGATAGTCTTAATATAAAATATATTCCGATTATTAGATTAATAAATATCACACGTCTATAAATTGCATTGGAAAAAATATTTTTGGTATTTTAAATGTTCAAAATAAATATTTTATTGTACATTCTTGTTTATACTTCAATGTACTGACAATCATTTCTAATATATACCTCCGTATTACAAGTGTTTTCTTTATTTTCTTTTTAGCTATATACATATACAATTAAACTACAAACAAACAGCACCGGGATATATCACTAATAACCTATTTATTTATACATATAAATAACTATAATTTACATTTTTCTCTTTTAAAATCCCTACTTAAAAATTCATTAATAAATTTAGATATTTTATCCGGATTTGTCAGATGGATATCATGACCACCTTCCACGGCGACCAAAAAAAAATTCTCTGTATTCTTCTCCAAATCTGACAGCAATTGTTGCACAAACTTCTTCCCCGGCGGGTAGCCCTTACTTAATGTGCACTCTATATGCAAAGTTGGTGGAGAATTTCTGGAGAATAACTGGTAATAATAATTAGGGGGGTAGTTTTGTGGTGCGGGAAACCGGAGTCGACGATCCCAGGACAGTCTGAAACGGAAATTTATTGTTTGACAATCTGTACTAAAAGGTTATTTATTTCCAAGTAATTTAATACTGTTGGCCGCAGCTGGCCTTTACATCTTCACCGGACGATAGGGAGCGAGTGCAGATGGCACTCCAAATAAAAAAAAAAAGAAAGGACCTGAGTGGCTGAAGGCCAACTCCTGCTTGCCGCATACAACTGTAGTCTGAGCACAGTTGATGCACTATATTTGATGAGGTTTTGTACCGAGAAATGAAAATCTTTTAGTGCGTATTAAAAGCTTTTTTGTACTGAACCTCGCACATAAATTTTAAACTCCTGAACAACGCTACATCCGCTTGCTCTACACTCAGTCTTCTGGCTATGCAAACACATGAACAGCATCACGGATGACAACGTGATGTCCTGTTCATCTATATAGATGACGGTTACTGCTTCTCATCAGATCAATCATCCGTCCAATTCAAACGGATCCCCGTTTGAAATTACGAGGCCCTATCCTGATCGAACCCCTAGTGGTGCCGTCAAATTGAAGTCGCTATCCGTCAGGCGGGAGTTGGCCTTCAGCCGCTCTATCAGTCCTTCCTTTGGTTTGGAGTGCCATCTGCATTCCCCTATCGTTCATTAAAGTTGTAAACGCCAGCTCTGGCCAACAACATTAGAGTTGTTGGATTACGAATCCTTATAAATTAATATATAAAAGAGAGAGTGGACTGTATTTATTGAAAAGAAAATAATTAATGGAAAAGGAAGTAAAAATACGATTTCAATCTGGAAGAACGTCTTCCACACTCCGAACACCCCAAAGTAAGCAATGTAACACCAAACTTACTCACCTTTGCTCAGGAACGTCCCGATGTGTAGTACTGTTTAGTGGCCACGCACTCTACAGTGTATATTTTCATCAAAAACAATTATATTGTGTTAAATAAATCATTAATTATCTTGTTTTGTATAGATAAAAATACGGAGCGTCCTTTTTATTCCAGTTCTTATTTTAAATTGTTTTTTTTATTCTTTTCGAATTTAAGTGGCCACATGTTTTTATATGTGGCCAGTATCACCAAGCGCCCTTTGCTTCAGTAAGCAAGCCGGTGATACAACCTGCTTAAACTAAGGAGGTTCGGAATACGGAACAAGAGTAGTCCAAAAAAAATTCCTTATTATCATTTGGGACATCAGCTTTTCAATCATATTAAAATTTTTTCATTCTTATCTCCCTATAACATATTTTAAAAACTTACTTGTATTTATCCTCGCCTATACATTTCAAACTCCTGGACAGCGCTATGTCCGCTTGCTCTACACTCAGTCCCCTGGCCCTGATGACAGCGTCCAGCGCTCTCTGCTTCGTGTACACTCGATCGTCCACGTTGTATTTCTTATAATTATCGTAATATTCCGCATAAAATGCGTCGAAGTACTCCTGCATGTTGTGTACTTGCAGTCGCTGGAATGCCAGAGATCCGTCTAGGAGAATGAATTTCTTTATTCGGCCAGGGTAGATGACGTTGTAGAATAAACCTGGAATTTATCTTTCTTTTAATGTATGTATAAGAATATACAGGTAGTATATAATATGTATTAATGTGTAAGTTTATTTATATATGCTTACATAATGTATGTTTATCTATATAGTGTATATTAAATATATATGCGCCTCCTACCTTCTGTCTCTATGTAAATATTCTCTGTCAACACAGTTGTCTATAAGAGATTGCTAATAGCGATAAAACCGCTTTTTATATAGATATAGTTTTTATAAATTATTATTAGATAATACTAGTTTATATGTCTATCCGTACTATTACATATCTGACTTGACACAGACTACACAATAGAGAGAACTAGGGATGTTAGGGAGCTCCGTAACCGTAACCGAAACTATCGGATATCGGATATTAAAAAAATATTTGTAACCGTAACTGAATCCTAAATAAAAGTTTCTGAAAATATTGGATAGGGGTGGAGCCTAATTGAGACACGTTATGTAACCATTTTATTAGCTATTTGTATTTTATTTTTGAAATTCCTTACAAAAATTATATCCGTAACCGAAATTATCCGAAACTAACGGATAATCCGAAATAATTTCATATCCGCATCCGTATCCGGTATAATAATCATTCCTATATCCAAAATTTCATATTCATAACATCCCTGGAGAGAATGTAACGCAACAACAAGAGATTGCTCATTGATTTATTGTAAGGGCTCTGAATACATCACAGTAGGGAGAAACGGCGAGCTGTCCTAAGGCGGTGACATCTGCGTCTCACTCCACTAAACTAAAATTATTAATTCCAGTCAGTATAATGACATTTCCAGTATTGCAGGTATTTAGTCCCAAATAAATAGTGATGTGGTACAATCGAGTTTATATAATTAAACGTTAGTCGAGATTACATTTTTTTATTCAATATCAAATTGCCTTTATATAAATATGTAATTTACGGTAATTAAACAGAAGACATTCGGTAAGAAATTAAATATTATATAAAATACTATTAAATTAAATTATTAAATTATGGAATATTATTAATATAATTAATTAAATTATGGAATGCAAAGCTTAAGTAAATATTATATATAATATTTACTTAAGTAAGTAAATATTATATAAGAATGCAAAGCTTAAGTAAATATTATATATAATATTTACTTAAGCTTTGCATTCCATAATTTTACAGTAGATAGATAGACAGGTATATTTCAAAGTAGGTTAATTATACTTTGGGCTCAGTGTCGCCCTCTCTCCTTTTATTTTTGGTTATCTCCTATTTGGACTTTTGGCTATGGACGCCATTTTGTTTTTCATTCTGCTCCCGAATTCCGATGGTGTCAGAAGTGTTTAGTGTCTCTGCAATTTTTTGTTTATTTCTTACTTGTTTGTTATTTTTGTTATTGTTTGCTAGTTTTGTTATATTTTTTTGTAGTTTTGTTACGTTTGAGATGGAATTCCAACCGTCCACCTCTAAAGAGGGATGCGTCCCTCCAAAAAGAAGGCGACGATCGTTGACGACGTTTTGAGTGAGAAACAAATGGTTCTCAATGCATATAATTATGTATGGAAACAAAATGCAGCAAAATCTTTTGATGTTCCAAAGAAAGATGAGTGTGTGAACACAGTATCTGAAATTTTGGGAATTTCAACTAGATCTGTGTATCGGATACTGAAAGAACAAAAGGAGAACGTTCAGTTGTCAAATCGGAAAAAATCCGGACCCAAACTGACATTCAAAGATAAAATTGATGATTTTGACTATTCGGCGATACGTCGTAAAATCCACCAATTCTTTTAGAAATTTATTCGAAGGACCCTCCAACCATTGCCAAGGTATGTAAATTTATAAAATTATAATGCAAAATACATAATTGCACATCATAATAATAATTAATATACATTGTCATTGTCTCACTGTAGTTTACAAAAATTAAATACTTGTAATATTTTACATGTTCATCAGGTTGTAAATGATGACCTTGACGTACCAAATATGACAAAGAGTCCCACGTGAGCAGTTTTAAAGCATTTAAAACGACCCAACTGCTTGACAGACCGTCAAGACCTAATTCTGTGGCGTAGACGGTACTTGACGTCAATGAAAGAATATCGGAGACAAGGAAAAATAATTTATTATCAAGATGAGATCTGGATTAATGAAGGTAATTGAATATTTTTAATTACACCTGTATTTAGTGAATAGTTTTTCAGTTTCATAATGTATTTGTGTCAGTATTATATTATTTATATGAGATTTTGTATATTAACAGGTCATACAACTGGTAAAGTTTGGGTGGATACAATAATTGAATCTTCCAAACAAGCCTTTTCTAAAGATTTGACTACAGGCCTAAAGGGCCCAACCGGCAAAGGTCGACGCTTAATAATTTCACATATAGGCAGTGATGAAGGCTTTGTAGAAGGTGGTTTACTTATTTTTGATTTATCGAAGAAAAATAGTATGGACTATCATGAAGAAATAAACTCGGAGTGTTTTGAGGAATGGCTTAAAAGCATTTTGCCAAATTGAAAGCCAAATGCGGTGCTCGTATTAGATAACGCACTGTACCATTCAATAAAAGTCGAGCGTATCCCCACTTCAAACTGGCGGAAGGCTGATATGCTGAGAAGACTGAGTGGTTGGATGAAAAACAAATTCAATATCAACCTACAATGATAAAGGCTCAATTAATAGAAATAGTAAAATTAGAAAATCTAATTACGAACGCTATGCTGTGGAAGAGTTGGCCGCTGAATACGGTGTTACAATCCTGCGTCTGCCCCCTTATCACTGTGAGGTTAACTCAATAGAGTTAGTTTGGGCTCAAAGGGGTACGTCGCCAGGAACATAAAACTTTTAAAATAAAAGACGTAAAAAAAATATTTGAAGAAGGTCTGAAGGAAGTGATGCCTGAAGATTGGAAAAACCAAGCCATAAAAGTCGAAGACAAAATGTGTCAACTCGACCACATCATAGATGGATATGTGGATTCATTCATTATAAATGTAACTGGTTACGATTCCGATTCTGAATATACCGCTTCAGAATCGGAGTCGGAATCAATAGCAACTGTAATTAGTAAAAACGTATAAAATTAATATTCCTGATTTTCTAGTATTAATTCCTCTGAATCTCTTTATACATTTTTTGCCAACTTTTGTAATAATGTTGTAGTGAGAAATTTTAATATGCTGCTTAGGTCCATATTTCTAAAATCATATTATTTAATATGGTATGTATTAAATATTTAAAATAAAAACGCATTGTACCTAATAAAATAAAGCATGACTAAATGTCTAAGTCTATTGATTGCCGGACATCACTATTGTAGTGGGTCACCCTTTTTTGTATCAGTGCCAGTTGCACCTGTCATTTTACTGACTGGAATTAATAATTTCCAGCGTCTATTTTTCCTGGCTCTTACAACATTGGGTCTTTCAAGTCAAGAGTGAAGGCATTATTTAAGCTTGCGTGTAACAGCTTAGACCACATCATAACTTAACATCAGGTGAGATTGCGGTCAAACGCGCTCAAATATTAACAAAAAAAAATCGTACTTACATAATGACTACGACCGTTCTGTTAAGAGTGTATTGAATAAAAAAATGATTAACATACCCTGATCACAGCCATTGGAGTGTCCAATATACGTAAACTGCTCCCAGCCGAGGTGGTTCACCACTATTTCCAAGGCACCCAAGAAATGTATACGGCACAATGTCACACCTAGAAAAAAAGACACACTTTCAATAATTTCTACGTAATCAACCACCTTCCGAAAAAATAAATTATTTGAATAAAGAATATATCGACTCTATTCTACTTTTGTTATAATAGGCTTTATTGATACATAACTTTATTTGAATAAATAATATTTCTACTCCATCCTACTTTTGTTATAATAGGCTTCATTGATACATAAGTTTATTTGAATAAAGAATATTTCGACTCTATTCTATTTTTGTTAGCCTTATAAGCAACATTAACAACAGATTTATATATAACAATCCAGCTGAACAATTTTATTTTAAAATTAAACAGTGAGTGAAATTTTTCCTTATGTTAGTATAAAATGAAAAGGTAAAATAGCACTTGTGTTCTTAGCAAATATCAACAGACCATAAGACAATTACTTGAATTAATACATATATGTATCTATACTAAGATTATAAAGAGGTTTGTATGTTTGTTTGTTCAGGGAAATATCTGGTGCTGCTGATTGCCTTGTTGCCAATTTTGAAAATTCTTTTAGTTTTTGATGAATGAATGCTACAGGATATATAACATCACGCTAAAACCAATAGGAGTTGAGTTGCATTGAGAAACATTGCAATAATGGGGAAAATTAGGCACAAAGTTGCTTAGATCTGATGTAAAATATAAACTTACCAACAGGAAATGGGTCTGATTTGCCATTTCCTGGTAGGTCAACACCCACATAGTAATAGTGGTCCGGTAGTAGTTCCAGGAGCGGGAGGAATGTGGCAACACTGTCTGAACGTCCATGTACTAGCAACACTGGATCACCATTGGGGTTGCCCCAGGATATCACTGTAATCACAGTTTTATGAGATTCCTGAGGCAATTTTATGCTTAAAAGGAGGTTTCAACATCTAGATATAATTAAGAGAAAAAAAAATTGTGAAGGTTGAGTATAAAATATAATAAATAATCTTAGAAAGATTGCCTGCCGACTGTGGCTTTAATTGGCAAATGATAGGAACACTGGAAGCCTTTATAAAGGACTGCGGATGTGGATATGAAACTATTGTGCAAAATCTATACATATAAATAAAATTGGACTGTCTGTTTGTAGTATTAAAATAACCATTTTTTCTATATGCATTATAATATAAACATGGTACATACTCCAAAATAACATTTTTTACAATTTTTGTCTGTCTGTCTGTTTGTTCCAGCTAGTTAGGATTGAGTACAGTGGAATATTTTGTGATTTATAAGAAATATATATTGTAATTGTATAGATTATACAATTTGTTATTTGAATTTTATTTAGTATCTAGCGTTTGACAATTTTATTGATTTGTACCAGTTATTATCCACTCAGTACCACATATCCCACTGTTTTAGGTTGACTGGATCTCTTCTAGAGATAAGTCCACCTTTGCTCACATTGTCTCTAAATTATATCTTTGTATTATCTGTGCAATAAAGAATATATTAATTAAAAAGCTTGAAAAACACTACTTTTTTTATTTAGCTAATTTTAAAAAATAATAATGACAGTAAAATTTTGTAATGTTTGTTGCTAAGGAACAACTCACTAAGAAGTATATACGTACTTCTTCACAGCCTTGCAGTAATTTTTCATGCTCATCCTATATTATACTTGTGCTGCAACAGTATACTGGTATACATACCAGTATAAGTGCACCATAAAAGAAATATAAAACTTAAGATATCTCCCTGAAACTGGTTAAAGTTATAAGCTTTATATACTTTGACTAGTTTCTTGGTGAAAGTGTGGGTCTTATTATATGTATTATGTATTCATGATCAAGATGAACATCATTGTTACCATTTACCATCAACTTCTTTACCATTCCAAGAACATAAAATAACACATATTAATGAGCTTTTATCAGCACTGACATACACATTGCAATTTGATTGTAAGCCATTCCAACGACCATTGTTTAAGAGTGATAATCAGTAGTTAAATACCTTTTCAATCATAAAAATGCTATAAGAACTTATAATACTACTGATTTTCAAAATATTTTAACATATAATTAGTTACATTAGCCGTGAGAATCGTGTAGTAATTTATTTAAAAAAAATTAAACCCTAAATTACACTCGTTCAAAACAGAGTTACTTTGCTAGTTCGTATCAAATACTTTTAAATAAGAATTAAGTATACAAGTGATAATTTATGGATAAGCCGTCAAATTGGCCACGGCATGCTGTTTTAGTTAATTAGGCTTCAAAGCTGTTTAAATAAATGAATAATGTAAATATTAAGTAGTCAAAGAAAGTAAGAACTCACTGGCTATTTTTCCCCACGGTGCATTAATATACCATTCCTTATTCGATTCTTTCATAATTTCACTTTTATTTCATTTAAGTATACGTAAAAAATAAAAAATCTAGAAATTAGTAAGAATTTTAAAATTTCAAGAATTATTAATGTGTACAGAACAAACTACTAGTTGACAATAAGTTGTGTCAGTGTCAAAAGCACACAGATTATTAAAAGTTGCCAGTGTGAAATTCATACTTATAACCGGTGATGCACGCGACTTCGTCCGCGAGTGTATTTGTCAATCGACTATTGTGAACTTGGCATACGATATTGAAAAATCGAAATATTTTTAGAGTTCCGACATCCTTTTGAATAGATTTCTTTATAAATAATTTAAATAGTTCCGATTTTTAAATTAAAAACCAAAAAAAGCGCTACCTGAGACGTATCGAAAAGTCTATAACTTTTTCCTGTGAAATACTCATTTTCCAAACTATCGCCACTTTTTGTTTCAAGACTGAATTTTACAGGAAATATTTTTTTTTAATTTCTAGCCGATCTGATCAGTGTTTTGGAAAATCGAAAAGTCTTATGACATGTTCCTGTGAAATAATTATTTATCAAACTATCGCCACTTCTAACTCGGAACTCGTAATTTTTTTTACATTTATAATTTGCAATAAATTGCAAAATAATTATTTCCCAGGAAAAAGTTATGAAGATTTTCTTTAGAACTCGGAGAATACTACCCAGAATTATTATCAGGTTGGCTAGAACTCGCGTCGGAAATTGCTCTTTTCTTATATGAATTCGGACGCGGCGTCTACAAAAAACGTTTTTTTCGTTTTAATCGCTAGAACTATTGTTATAACTGACAAAGACTGTAGAACTATTGTAAAGCAAATTAGAACTTCGAAGAAATGATTGATTGATATCATTTAAAAAATCGTGCGCTAAATTCACACAACGTACGATTTTTTTTTATTAAAATTTCGGAATTATTTAAAATGTTTATAAAGAACTCTAGAACTATTTAAAAGAGTTCTCTAAAAAAAAATATATTTTTTTAATATCGTGTGCCAAGTTCACAGGAATTGTTAATCGTCATCTATTAATGACAAAGTCTAACGACAACAATGAATATAATGTCTTTACAACGTAGTCTATAATTTTAATTTTAAATTGAATACTAAAATTGTACACTACGCATTAAAAAAATAATTTCATTCTAATAGTATAATTTTCTCATCTTTCTTTGGTATATATGTTCGCCAACATTTAACAATATTCTTTGAAATTTCCATTCAAATTCATGCAGTCGTTTTTACAGTATTTGCCTCGTCACGAATTTATGATTTTATTACATGTAAAAATCATGAAATGTAAACATAATAAAGAAGATAATAGTGACGCCAATAAGAAAGTTATTACATTATCAAAGTTAGTTGAAAACAAAATTATTACCGATTCCGAATACGATTTTTTCTATTTCTGTTTATAGAGATTAATAAAGTGATAAATTGTCATTTTCCTATCTTTATTTAGTGTATTATAACTTAAATGGTTTAAATTTTGTACAAACTAAAAAAATCTAGAGTTCAAAACCTTTTGTCAGTTATATTCAGACAGATGTAGCATTTCCTACTCTTGCTAGCAGGATAAATCAGAGTGCTGGCCCGTAAAGACGACGGATGAAAGACGACTGCAAGCAACTGAAATACGAATGTTGAGGTTGGGACGGAACGGGGAGGAAGATTGGACAAGATAAAGAATTAATACATTAGAGGAAGTATGAAAGTGACGCCAGTGTCAGAGAGGTTGAAGGGTCTATCATGGTATGGATATATGTAATGCGTAGGAATAAGGATAATATTTTAAGAAAGGTGTTACATATGAATGTGGATGGTTATAAGGGCAGAGGAAGGCCGAAAAAGAGATGGGTGGACTGTGTGAAAGATGATATGGTAAGAAAGGAAGTAAATAACGCGATGACTGCGAACAGGGATGAATGGAAGAGAAAAACATATTACGCCGACCACAAATAAATGGGATAAGGAAGAAGCAGATGCTAGCAGGCTAAACCGCCATATTAAAGTTATTTTTTATTATTGGGGCTTATACGAGGCCTATATAATGATGATGATAAAGGTAGAAGGGGTTTTAGTAATGTGGAGTGATGACCACATGTCTAGCAACGTACCATATCAGTGTGACTTCCACGCGGTCCCCCTGGAAATCATCACAATAATTTCCTAATGATGTTGCCACTATAGGTTAACTGACCTAACCTCATAATCATTATTCTCCACTGCAACATTCCATTAGCAATTATTTATTTATATAAAAAAAAACATCTATTCAAAAGAGGAACACACAAGTTTCTTGCTCATTCTTCTTTTGATGAATCTGCATTCCGAATGAGTGGTAGATTCAAAATATGACTATTCAAAAGTGCTTGTAAAGAGTTTATTTAAATAAAGATTATTTTTATTTCTATTTCTATTTAAAAAATAATGCTGACTGACAAAGACTTATATTGTTAGTCAGCATTGCATATTATTATTAATAACCCGGGATAATTCATACGGTAATTCGCCCCAAGCTTAGAAAAGCTTGTAGGTCTGGTACTAGACAACTAATAGAAATTGTTAGGTATACTAGGGGCTGTATTTATATTTGGTTAGTCGTATATAAATGTAGTATATTGAAATAGAAGTCAATTGCAGATACTAGTATGTAGAACGGTATAATATAAGAATCAGGAGTACAACAATTAATGAGTATGTCTGCAGAAGAAGCCATTTTGTAGTATTTTATTTTCCCGCGCAAACGTAATGCGCCACAGATGGAGAATATTGCACGGCGCGCAGCCGCAGTAACATAATGAGCACGTCATAACTGTAGGCATATTGTTAAGATTACTATGAGCACAGATAACATAATATTACATACTATGAGTTAACAGAAATACTTAAATACCTTTTCCTTTATAGATACATTCATAATATACATAGAAAAAAACCCACATCAATATATACTTACTTATCATATACAAATGTTGGTATCGTGCAGGAATGGAACCCACAAACAACGGAAGTAAGGCAGCGTGCTGAACCGTAAGAATTCTTGTAATATTAATATAAAGAAGTGGGAAAGAAATTATCAATATTAGGGTCTAGTGATCCTATTGCTACCGATATAGGTACCATGTTAGGTTGTTATGCAAATGGTCCCACCTTGAAATTGTCGTTGTAGATACTAGTGAATTCGCCATTACGCTTAGTTGACTTTATACTCATTCTATCATACTACACTGTGTCCCCGCTAGCTTTTATTGTTGACGCAGGCGAGTGCACCATTACATTATCATGTAATATACATATAAATGAAAGTCTAGCTATGAATAAATATTTTTTAATTTTCGCTATTTTTTTTATTACTCACACGTTCACAATGTTTCATATAAAAAAAATATTGTGAAATGTTAAGAGTAAAAACCATTTGGCTGTATGGTCTACAAACCTTAGCCTATATGTATCACAAATTAAAAAACAATATCATAAAAAAATACATTTTCCCGCGCATAATTAAATATCGAACACATCACAATTTTGATTTATCCGTATCATTTAATATGGTTCACAAACCTTTGCCTCCTTGTATGGCAAATTAAAAAAACAATCTCATAATAATTACATATTCCCGCGTAAAATTAAATATCGAACACATCACAATTTCGATTTAACCGTATCATTTAAAAAGTCGATTATATGAGGCACTAGTTGTTCCGGATTTGTGATGTGCACATCGTGTTTCCCTTCCACGAGCACGTTGTGATGTATAGTCGTGGATTCCGCATATGTTTTCATTAATTTTTTTGCTAGTAACACCATAGCCGGTGTTAGTTTGTTCTCTGTGGCGTTTATGACGAGGGTGGGAGGCGGTTTCGACGTGATCACGTGGTTTAATGTGTATTCTGGAAGCCAAGTACCGAACACGCGACGCATGGCTGGTTGGAATGTCATTCTGGAAGAAAAAAAAGAAATGGTTATAGACAATAAATTTATTTATTATATTCTTTTATGTAACTGGATGAACAAGCTGACGGATTATTTTTTAGAAAGTGCTAACCGTCGCCTATACACATGAACATAATATCATGAATATACATCACGTTATCATGTGATATCCGTGATTCATAATAACCTTAGAAAAGTCACACAGCGCTATTTAGTTCCAAGCTAAGTAGAGCTTGTGTTATGGGTATTAGACTAGCTACAGAAATACTTACACATTTTTTTTATGAATACATTACATAATATATTGAAAATACCTAGACCGATACAAATAATCATACTCATCAATAAAAATCGTGCGAGGAATCGAACCCGCGACCATCGGAAGTAAAGCAGTGTACTAAACTGCTAGACCACCGAGGTCATCCTACATGAAATGTTAAATATAATACGACCTATACGATGATTTTATATACAGGCACGCAAGCATACGGCATGCCTTATGGTGATTACCGCCAATACCTGCCTTTACACGTACCACTTTCACGATCGAATAGGCTTTCACGCACTCAAAACAAGTCCGTCAAAAAGTTAATATTGAATCAAACCTGTGGACTCCAAACTCGACTGGCACTAAACATCTGTTGAGTAACAGCTTCGTCTGCGCCCTGGTGAGGTTCCTGGCGTTCATCATGGCGGTCACAGCCTGCTCATACGTGTACAGCTTGGGGTCATTTATCTGTCTAATATAACATGAAAATACATAAAAACCTTAATCCTTAATCTATACATATAAATAAAATTGGAGTGTCTGTTTGTAATATTGAAATAACCTTTTTTTACTACATGCATATGAATATAAATACGATACATACACCAAAATAACATTTTTTTGAATTTTTGTCTGTCTGTTCCGGCTAATCTTTGAAATGGCTGGACCAATTTTGATGGGACTTTTATTGGCAGGTAGCTGATGTAATAAGGAGTAACTTAGGCTACATAACTTTATTTTTCTAAAATAAAAGTAGCTTAAGTTACTCCTCATTACATGCTCCTGCCAAAAAATGTTATTTTGGTGTATGTACCGTATTTATATTCATACGCATGTAGTAAAAAACGGTTATTTCAACATTACAAACAGACACTCCAATGTCATTTATATGTATAGATTAGTTAAACAGCGTTAGAGTAGTCGCTAAAAAATGAATACTCACTTGTGGTAACTGTCGTAGTGCTCCTCGTAGTTAGTCTTGAACCAAGCACCTACAGCGTAATTGACGTAGAACTGGTTCCCCACCGGGACAACCGGGTCGATGATGATCATCCGTTTGATTTTTTTAGGAAAAATATGATGATAATAAATACCTGGAAAATGTATAAATTTTATTTTATAATTATAATCATTACATACTAGCTGTACCCGCGATTTCACTCGCTTTAAATTTCAATTTGAAATATAATAGAATAGAAATTCATTTATACAAATATTACTTTAAACATTTTTGAATCTATAGTCACAGTTATCGGTATCCTTCTTTCTCTCTACCGCTCATTAGGGAAGCTGTCTCATTACGAGAAGAACGAGCAAGAAACTTGAGTGTTGCTCTTTTGAATAGATAGATAGAATATACTTTATTTGCAACGTACAGTAAAGAAGAAGCACAAACAATATAACAAAGGACACATGTATCGTTACAATAAGGCGGCCTTATTGCTAAAAACAATCATAATAGATATAATGAAAAAAATAAATTAAATTAAAAAAATAAAAAAATAATTGATAAATAAAAAAAAATCAGAATAGATGTTTTTTTTATATATATAAATAATTGCTAATGGAATGTTGCAGTGGATAATAATGATTATGAGGTCAGGTCAGTTAGCCTATAGTGGCAACATCATTAGGAAATTATCATGAGGACCACGTGGAAGATTTTATGACGAGAAAATAAAAAAAAAATCTTTCTATACCATAAGACCCACTCACCGTTAATAAACCCCATAGAATGCGCCATGTAGATGAAGTTCTTCCATCTCATATGCTCCACTACACGCCTCAGGACCTCGGTGAACAAGGTCTGTGTTGCCAGTGGTGCTACTGATACGTGATCAGATTTGCCGTGACCTGAAAATGATTATGTTTTCTTTTTAAAATAGATATAGTAGCTGTGCTCGCGAGTTCGTCAACGTGGAATTGTGATCTTGACCAAATAAGGAAAAAATATTTAATAATATAACCCAAAAATTTTGTCATGGATGATATGGATATATACATCAAAATAATAATTGCATTTAATAATGTCTAGTAAGACAAATTCAATACTGTCTAATAAGCACTGCCGTGTCTAAACTGTGTCACCCCACCTTACATTTTTCTATTGTTATTTAGTATATAAGATTATTATTTCTATGTACATATTGTCACTTTATTACCATCTATAATGTACATCTCGACCAACAACATCGTATTATTCATCCGCAACAGATGATAATGGAATGGTGCACCCGCCTGAGCTAACGGTTTACGCTGGCGGGGCACCAGTGGAGGATGATAAGATGAGCATGCCCTTACAATACTTTTGTTTTATTTATATTTAATTAACAACCTAAAAAATAAGTTTCATGCCTCTAGCTTTTAAAGTGACGATATTTTCACACAATTTTTACATCTCCCATTTCAACAACCTTTTTCGTTTTAAAAAGTAGCCTATGTTCTTTATCAGAGTCTAGAGAATCTGTGTACCAAAATAGCTTCAGTAGTTTTAGAGGGAAAGCTAGACAAACAGACAGACAGAGTTATTTTCGCATTTATCGCGTCTTTTGCTTGTTCAACATTCTAATTATTTAAAAAAATATAACAATCATAAACAATTTTATCTCTTTTTTAAATCACGTCACTGGTAATGGATACCTAATATACTTATATAAATAATCGTATTCATAAAAATATGCCACCTAGGGCTAATCAGGGCTAATCAGTAATAAAATTCTTACAATACATGTATTTTTATTAGGTAATCAATCAATGGATCTGACGGCAGAACTTTTATCATTTTTATTAATACTTTATGTTTAACAAACAAGGCGTAGTTCCTTTTTATTATATCATAATCATTTAAGAATATAGTTGCTGTGGACTTCATGGTTTGTCGCTGGCCGGAATAGAATAGAATAGAAAATCATTTATTCAAATAAACTTAATTTAAGCACTTTTGAATAGTCATAACAATTTGTTTTTTATCTACCACTCGTTCGGAAAGCTGTCTCATCACAAGAAGAACGAGCAAGAAACTTGTGTGTTGCTCTTTAGAAGAAATTAAAATGTTGACTAGGCTGTATGGTCTAAGGATCTTTGCCTGTTCTATCATTTGAAATGAAGATGGACGAATGTGGGAAAATAAAATCTCGCTGGCCACATAAAATACACTTTTTTAGTATATAAAATATGTAATAGGAATTATTATTTTGTATAATAAGAAAAATATACGGTTTTATATTTTTTGCATCGATTTATTTTCTACTAGCTGTTCCCGCAACTTCTTAATTTAACTTTATTTTTCTAAAATAAAAGTATCCTAAGTTACTCCTTATTACATTAGATACATATATATTCTTATACAAACAGACCAACAGGCAGACAGACAAAATTTGTAAAAAATGTTATTTTGGAGTATGTACTGTATTTATTATCATATGCATGTAGTAAAACACGGTTATTTCAATATTACAAACAGACAGTCCAATTTTATTTATATGTATAGATGTACCTATACATAATTTTCGAGTTGATGAAATAGTTTTCTGCACATATAGATTCATCTAATACACATATAATATTACTTAAAGACATTCATACATTGAATCTTGAACAGCTAGGTGCTCTTCAAGTGTTGGTGGCATAACAAATAAATGCAAACGAAGCAGCAGATATCACTTAGTTTTAACCAACCACCCTATACACTAGTTAATGCATAATATCACAGTTTAAATAGTTCACAATATTAGTAATATCTACGAAGTTTTCATTTTATAATTAACGACAGTCAACAACTTGTGGCGATTCTACGGATCCTGCTCTGAAGGAGTAATTATTGATGTGTTACCAGACTATTCAGAGATACTAAGCAAGTATAAAAAAAAGTGCTATAAAAGCTGGAAAGAATATTTTGATGAAAGATCTAAGTCAAAGGGCATATGGTATAAAACGATACAGTGCCAGCCTCCTCGTATTCCATGGTTCGCACTCACAAAGATTAATAGGCAGCACATTGTTATTGCGAATAGACTGCGTTCCGGACACATTCCATTAAATAAATTTGCTTATTTAATGAAAAAAAAGATATCCCCTAATTGTGAAGCTTGTGGAAAAGAAGAAGATCTGCATCATAATTTAATGGAATGTGTTGGTAACGCATATAAAAGAGAATATACCATCCAAGCTTTAATGTTAAATAGGTTAGACGTAGGAGTATTTCATGAAATATTGGCAGAACCAGCTTCCGATGCAGCCAAGTTATTGTTCTGGATGGTGTCATATTAGATTAAGTTTTTTTAGTTTATTTTTGTTAATTAGTATAGGTACGATGGGATTGTCATCGTCACATTATGTGCACAAAAATCCCAAAAAAAAATAAAGAGAAAAAAAAAAAAAGATTCTACGGATAGTGCGCGGCAACACCGTTGCCTAGTTATTGTAAATAACGCAAGAATATACATTTGTACATAACCACCACTGGACTCGTTATTTCATTTTTCTCCACCTGTCGCTGCCCGTACCAGACGAACACAAACAAATAATAGCGGAACAATATAGACGCCAAAAACTATTGCCAGGCAACACTCAAGATAGCTGTCACTGCATTATAGTCTTTGACATATCACAAACGGTCGACCAATATTATTGCAATAGTGCGTTTGCATTTTTAACCTTCACGATAGGTTATTTTTACGAATTAATAAACTTATTTCCAACACCATTTTAAAATTATAATGTACTCAGTAATTGACTAAAAATAAAAATAAATTACATACATATAAAAGTATAATCAATAGTATAAAAGAATTGAGAATTAGGAGCATAAGAAAATTAGAGTGTCTGCAGAAGAAGCCATTTTGTAGTCTTTTATTTTCCCGCGCAAATGTAATACGCCACAGATTCACAATATTGCACGCGCGCAGCCGCAGTAGATGACGAGCGTGTCATAACTGTACGCGATGTTAACATTAGCGGGTTAATATTAGATGGTATTCAGGTTGCGAACACTGATTAGACTTTTTGATTTTTTTTATATAGCATATGCATATGGTCACTCTATTCTCCCAAATTTGAATTTAAATAAAATAGTATTATTGTAAATATGTACAACATTAAAAAAAATACGAGCTGAGTTTCTTGTCAGTTCTTCTCATCTCGAAATCATTCCGAACTGACGGTAGATTTGACATATCATAAGAGTCTGTAATAGACCTACATGAATAAAGATATTTTGAATTTGAATTTGAATTTAGCATGAGTATTAACACCATGTAGTAAAGAAGTGCCTTTCCATGGGTACAATGGAGGACGAGCCTGGCCACTAACCTAGCTGACTAATGTCCATAGAGACATGAACAAGTTGGATATGTCAAATGACGATGCTTACCAGCGAAAACATGGCGTCTAGATTAGGTAAGCCGACCCCGCGTAACGGGAGCAGGCGAGGATGAAGAAATAAATTTAAAATACCTGTTAAATCATATTTATTGAGCGAAGCCTATTCCTCATTAAAGTAAATGACAAACGAGCTTGACAATAATTGTTTATGTACGAAATTTTCATTTAATGTTAGACATAGACGACAACCTCGGTGGTCTAGCGGTTTAGCACACCGCTTTACGACCGATGGGCGCGTGTTCGATTCCTCGCACGGCACAAACATTTGTATTCATGAGTATGATTGTTTGTATCGGTCTGGGTGTTTTCTATGTATAATATGTATGTATTTACAAAAAAAATATCTATGTATATGTATCAGTTATCTAGTACCCATAACACAAGCTTTATTTAGCTTAAATTGGGTCTAGTCTAGATGGCGCTGTGTGAATTGTCCTGAGATTATTATTATTATTATTATTACATAGACACCTATATAAATATACATTGTAAATAAACTGGATTTTAAAAAAAAGTAATTCAATTGAGTTTCTTGCCAGTTCTTCTAAATTGGATCTGTATACTGAACTGGACGGTAGGGAAAATTTATTAATGTAAAAAACGTGACTTGTAAAAAACTTCATAAGCGGCAAAAATGTCTTAAATAAATAAATATTTTTTTATTGGATTTGATTTGATTAGGTTCTTAAAGTACTCACCAGGGAAATCGAAACTAACGTAGTAGTAATTGTCAGGTAGTAACTCCACCAGGGGTATGAAGGTGGCTGCAGTGTCTAGATACCCGTGGACCATCAGTATTGGAGGCTTGGTGCTGTCGCCCCAGGATATCACTGCATAAATAAAAAAGAATCATTAGTTCTGTGTTAATAGAGATATTTCGTATTACGGACGACGACCTCGGTGGTCCAGCGGTTTAGCACCCCGCTTTGCTGATGGCCGCAGGTTCGATTCCTCGCATGATACAAATATTTATATTCATGTTTCATGAATGTGATTGTTTCGGTCTGGGTGTTTTCTATGTATATTGCCTATGTATTTACAAATAAGTATCTATGTACATATTTCAAACAGTTGTCTAGTATCTATAACACAAGGCTCTGCTTAGCTTCAGTCAAGATGACTCTGTGTGAAATCTCTTATGTTTGTTATTGTTCTGCATGTTTGTATTGGTCTAATATTATTTTGTGTGTATGCATAAAACAATGTTTAAGCACTTAATTTTACAGCTACAATGATACATCAAGTGTATGAATGAATTTGAACGAATGAAAGTTAATGACCGAATGTATAGAAAGAAAAAATAAATAAACATTACGACAAATTGTAAAGACAATGAATAAAAAAATTAAAACAACCACTGCATCATATAATAATAAAGTTATATATGATTAAATTGTTGTTTTTCAATATTATTGAGTACTTTTTAGGTTATATTTTATGAACAAACAAATAATACAATTGTATCTATTACTTTCTAGTTAGCCAAAAACAACACTCATTGCTCTGTGCACTCTTTGATAGGCATGAAAACATTATATTTTGCCTTTCTGATTATTTCGAGGTTAGAATTATAGTAATGTAAGTCGGTAGGAATTTTATTAAATAATTCAATTATTTAATAAAAAGTACTAAAGACAACAGAGTAGAATAGATATTCATTTATTCAAATAAACTTAATTTAAGCACTTTTGAATAATTAGTCATTATTTTCATCTACCGCTCATTCGGAAAACAATCTCATCTCAAGTCTCATCACAAGAAGAACCAGCAAAAAACTTGCGTGTTGCTCTTTTAAATAATCCTTCTTACTTTTCAAATTCGAAATAATTCTCCTGCTTATCAAAAAGTATTTCTATTTTACTGCCTTTGACCCGGTTTGACCATACTACAAACGGTCATGAAATCCAACGATTGATATTATAATCATCAACAAAAGTTTGTTGTTTATTAATCGACACATATTTTCTTATTTATCTGTGTAGCCGACTTGTGTAACTTTGTCTGCGTCATATTTTCCCTGTTTTTACAATATTTTACATTGCAGCTCAACTCCTACTGATCATAGCGTGATGGTATATAGCATATAGGCTTCTACGGTAAATGGGCTGTACATCACTAAAAGAATTTTTAAAATCTTCGCTACATTAGTACAGATAATTTATACTCACTGGCCACATTTCCCCACGGCATTTCCACGAACCATTCCTTAGTCTCCTTTGTTGTCATGTTTAAAAAAAAGTCACTTGAGTTCTAATTTCAAATTCACTCTCCAACATTCACACCACAGAAACGTAATCACTCGTCATAATTAAAGCAGTATGTGAATCATAAATAAATTTTAATTTTTTTAATTTTACACATAATTAAAATATAAATAAATGAGGAATTATTTTACTTTTTAAATGTTAGGTTTTTGTACGATGCTGAATAACATACAGTACGATACGATATCTTATTTACTAATACTACAATACTAACATTTCTGGTTGATTACAATAAAGTAGAATATTCCGCTATATCACACTGTAGGTATTTTACGCGCAATCGTTGCTTACAAATGGTTGAAGGTCAAGTGTGTGTTGGTTGAACGTTTCTAGAGTTCCGTGATAATTATGTTTATTTTAACTATGTTTGTTAACTGACGGCCTCGGTGGTCTAGCGGTTTAGCACCGCCTTAATTCGATGGTCGCGGGTTCTATTCCTCGCATGGCACAATGCTAGAGTCTGCGTTCCGAATGTGTTAGATTTAAAAAAATATGACTATTAAAATGAGTTTAATTAAATGTAGGTTGTTTCTATTTCTTTATACTTGATTGTGAGAGTCTATGCATCTGAATAGTATCACGGACTTAGTGTCTTGCGACTTTGGAAGACGAAGATGTCATACCCTGTGATATAACTGCCGAATCTCACCCTATGACTGAAACACATCTTACTGTGCCTACACTTAAAATATTTCTGTCAATACTAGAGACCCTTCCATAAGTACCTCTCCAGATAACATAGATTTAAGTCAAATGTAAAGTCAGTCCACGTTACGACTCCGCGTCGTATGTACGCGTTACTAATAAGCCATGTAGCACACTATATAATAAACTTACTAATGTACAATAAATAGTACAATTATACCTGTATACTCACTACCTACACACTACAGTAAACAATATATTATGTAGCGACACCTCATCACAACATATATAACGCTACAGTGATGAGGTGATAATCACCGCGCCACATTACAAACCAGTAGGCTGAAATAGGTGGTATAGAGGCACTTTGTAGAAAGTCTATTTCATTCTTAGTTTCTCAACAGTTACATCCGTCAAACTCGTGAATGGGTGTTGAAAAAGAATATGAGCTGAGCTTCTTATCTCGAAATCATTCCGGATTGAAGGTAGATTTGACATATCATAAGAGTCTGTAATAGACCAATATATGTATATAGATATTTTTAATTGATTTTTTTATAAGAAATTGAAAAATAATTATAATGTAAATAATACTATTAGACACATTTGACAATTTGAACTATCTAATAAAAATCTCTTCGTCTGTCGGTATGAATCATTTACCACAGACTTTATTATGTTACGATATCAATGATTTATCTCGTCTCAAAGTCTAAACTGATAACTATGATCTCATCTCAAAGTGTAAAGGTTGGAAGAGATCCACTTGTATTATTTGCAACGTCTTAAAATATTTTAGTAGATAAAAATTGTAAGATATATTCAATGTTATTAGGTATTATTAGATATATTCATATTTTATAGGTCTCTGTGATCATACGGTTTAACACTCCGTGTTACTTTCAATAATATTTTTCTAACTTTATATTTTTTACAATATGTTAGACATCACATGCTGTTTCACCAGAAGAAGTGAGATGAAAGTTTATATGATAAATTATGTAATATCAATAATATATAGTACAAAAATAACAAATAAAAATTACATACAACTTTCCAAATCAATAATTAGTAAGTGAATAAATTTTGATTTTGACAATATACAGTAAAATAAAAACTTATAAATTGTGACGTTTTGACAGTAAATTTATTTGTATTATATGGACGTTGTGAATGCAAGGAGTTTATGCCTATAAATGTATAAAACTTTATTACTACGCACGGTTGTACATGTATTATATATATATAAAACTTCCTTTTGAATCACTCTATCTACTAAAAAAATCGGGTTCAAAATCCGTTGCGTAGTTTTAAAGATTTAAGCATACATAGGGACGGACTGACAGCGACAGCGACTTTGTTTTATACTATGTTTTGCGGCTATGTTAATGTATGTAGAAGAAACTGATTCGGTCTCTATTTACAGGCCTGTTATTTTATTGTTCTGTCTTAGCTTTTTTTTTTATTTATTAATATTTTACGGCTCTGGATACAAGTCCTTTTTAGCCTAACATAAAATATTTTGGCAATGGTGTTGCCGCGCGATAATAATAATGATTACGTCTTCATCACATCGAATGGGTGTACAGATCCCTAAATATACTTAAAAAAAAATAGATATTGTACAACAGTTGAAATTATTCAAGGAGATAAGATTGATTGTCGATAGGTATATATTGTATAAGGGTCATGATAAAACCTGTTGTTTATTTTAATATGCGCTAACCTGTGCCCGTCAGTTCACAGTGTAGCTACATTGTTTACTAATCTGTAATGTAATGTAAAATACATTTTTTTCAAATAGTTCATGTTTGCGTCATTGAGATCAAAATATATATTTTTGTAACTGATACATGTTTAGTACCTACGACATAAAGATTATTTTTATTTCAACTGCTCTGATATGTGTTTTAACAGCATGTTCAAACCAGCTATATTTTATTGGGAAGTTTCAGAAATGATATGTCGATGCAGCATTACTTTTAATTTATTCCTTTTTCATATTACACTCCACATAAATTGCGTCGCTGTACATTCACGTCTGGTCGTCTCGGTCGCCTCGAAAAGAGAGAGAGCAGCCCGCTCCCTCCTTGTTCCCGGCCTCTATCTCTCTTACTATTGGTGGCGGTATAATCGTGACGCTACCAACATCACGTGACTTACTATGATTTTAAATGAATAAAATGTAAGTAACAAATTAGTCCACCGAGTCTTCTTTATGTATTGAAGCTAACAATTTACAGATGTAAATAAGCTCGTTTGCTTTATAGATTAGAACAGGGGCGAGAAAACATTTTCATCAACTCAAATTGAAATTTTTGTTTGCGAGTCGCACATAAAGTAACAATTATTAATAATTACAATTTTTCTCTGCACAACTTGTGGTTGATTGGTAGAAAATGCCGTAAGGCGTTAAGCCTGTCATATCTACTTTTACCTTGGTTTTTTATGCATTGCATTTATATAAATAAATAAATAAATAACTTACAAATAAACTTACAATAATAATGTTTATTATATATATATATATAGTAGAAGATTTTTTTTTAATTTTATTAAAAAAAAAGGTAACCATGTTATACACAAATTTTAATGCATTATAAAAATTGGCGTGTTCGTATTACATACTAGCTGTACTCGCGACTTCGTCCGCGTGGAACTTTATTTTCTAAAATAAAAGTAGTCTAACTTACTCTTTATTACATCATTTACCTGCCAATAAAAGTCCTGTCAAAATCGGTCCAGCCATTTCAGAGATTAGCCGGAACAAACAAACAGACTGACAGACAAAAATTGTGAAAAATGTTATTTTGGTGTATGTACCGTGTTTATATGCATGTAGTAAGAAACGGTTATTTCAATATTATCAACAGACACTCCAATTTTATTTATATGTATAGAACAGTGCAGTGAGTAACTCGTCAGAAAAAATGTCTTCGGTTTAGTATGTACTGGTATTTTATTATGATTAATTTTATAATTATTATTATGATAATTGTATAATATATTGATGAGAGAAAGTCAAAAAATTAAATGTAATTTTAGAAATGCTTGGCGGGCCGCAAGAGATCTGAGGGCCGCGCGTTGCTCATTCTTGTATTAGAATATATTTTTTAGTATTATTTAATTATACTAAGTAACTAAAAAAAAGAATAATCAACTTAAATTAATGCGATGCGATTATCCAGAATTATAACTTGGCTGCGATGTTGCCTCTGAATTGTGCGTTTGTAATTTGAAATTGACATATTTTCTTTTTTTTATAACAAACGAGCACACGGCTCACCTGATGGTAAGTGATTATCTATCATTTTCACTAAATGTATATGAAACATTAAACTATACTTACAACAAATATATAATAAAAAAAATATTTCGGCTTTCGTTATTTTGGATGGGCTCGACCGATTTGGCACTTTCACATGTTGTAAGTACCCTATGAGTAACTTTTTTTATAATATTTAACTTTTTTAGAATAGATTAGTAAAATTCTTTATTAAATAAACTTAATTTTAAGTACTTGTCATTAGTCGTATGTACTTTTTTAATCTGTCACCGCTTCATAAGTCCTTCCTTTGGTTTGGAGTGTCATCTGCACTCGCAACCTATCGTCCGGTGAAGCTGTAAAGGCCAGCATTAGAGTACATAGTCCGAAAAAAAAGAAGAACAACTAAGAAACTTTTATTTTAGAAATATTATTTTCTTTAATTAAAATCAGTAAAATTCCAAGAGACAAAATCGGGGTCAATCGATAGTTATTAATAATAACACAGAAACTTCCAGAATTTTCTTTATTAAACAAACTAAACATCACAATTTGGACTTGTTGTCTCGATTCAAGAATTCGAGTATATAAGGCACTAGTGACTCCGGATGCGTGATGTGTACATCGTGTCTTCCTTCAACATAAACTGTACGATGAACAGTCGATGGTAGAGCATACGGTCGCAAAATTTTTCTAGAAAATTCTATAGTCACAGGGTTGAGGATGCTCTTAGTGGCGTTCAGATTGAGTACCGGGGGTGGATCTGTGGTTATGGCACAGGTCAGCGTGTATTCTGGAAAGCCGGAGCCTGTTATCCGCCGCATGCTGGGTTGGAAGGTCATTCTGAAATGAGTGTGATGAAATATGTCGTTAGACTATCTATCTACGATTATCTATCTATCTATCATCATTACATAGTATAAAATAAAGTCGCATGTCGTTAGATTATCTATCTACGAGTATCTATCTATCTATCATGATTATATAGTATAAAATAAAGTCGCTGTCGCTGTCTGTCCGTCCCTATGTATGCTTAAACCTTTAAAACTACGCAACGGATTTTGAAACGGTTTTTTTAATAGATAGTGATTCAAGAGGAAGGTTTATATATATAATACATGTACACCCGTACGAAGCCGGAGTGGGTAGATAGTCTATACATATAAATTAAATTGGAGTGTCTGTTTGTAATATTTAAATGACTGTTTTTTACTACGTGCATAGTAATATCATAAACACGAAAGTTTGTGAGTGTGGTTTATTACTCTTTCACGCGAAAAGTGCTTAGTGGATTCTGATGAAACTGTACTATAAGTAATATAGATTATACATCAGAATAACATATAGGCTATATTTTTTATTAATATTGAAATTTAGCGCGGGCGAAACCGCGGGCACAGCTAGTAGGTATATAGTGGAATGCAGAATGCTATTATTTTTTTTACTTCTCCCTTATAAATACATTACAAGTACAATATATATTTAACACACGCAAAATCTCTTTTGTTATTAAAGCCTGTAGTCAAATTGGGAATAGATCAATATGGTGTCTCTTATATTATTTGGCAATAGAACTTTAATAAATAGTCCAGTAAATTTAAAATTACACATGATGTGACCAATTTTGGCGTAATATATAAAAATAAGTTCGCATATACGTGAATGATAATATTCAGATATAAATTTTGATTTAATGAAAAGGGATGAAAAAATAAGAAAAGGGTTGAAAAACGCCTTTTCAAAGTAACTCGATAACGGTAAGAAATATTTGCACAAAACAGGTCTTTATTATTAGTATTTTTTCATTACCTGCTGTTGTTTTAGAGTTAAAACACAAAAATTAAAAAAATAATTAACTAGAACTAAGAGCTGAACGATCTGTAAAATGAGAAACATGTACTAGTGTTCGTCTGTGTAATGCACGCGCTGTATTATACAGGGCTTCTACTTACTTTTTCCTAATTTTTCAGTTGACAACGAGTCAAATTAGTATTTTGTTTTTGTGGCTAAACAACAGCAGATAATGAAAAAATTAAAATGTATTTTATTCTCTATACTGTTATTATCCTGGTCAAAAAGGCTTCTAGTTAATATATTTACTATATCCTCACCTATAGAGTCCATTTTCGGCTGGCACTAGACACCTGGTCAGGAGCAGCTCTGTCTGTTCCCTGGTGAGATGTCTGGCCTTCATCATGGCTGTGACGGCTTGCTCATACGTGTACAGCTTCTCTTCCTGTCTAGATTAGTGAGAAAAAAGATTTTATTTATTACTATTACTTTTCCGCGACTCTGTCTGGATTGTTAGATCCTTACTAATATTATAAATGCGAAAGTAACTATTTCTGTCTGTCTTGCTTTCACGCCAAAACTACTGAACAGATTTAAATGAAATTTGGTAAACAGATAGTCTAGAATCTAGACCCTGAGAAAGATTATAAAAGGGTTTTAAGGGGTAAAAGGGGGATGAAAAGTTGTATTGTCATTTTTGACTCTAGAGGACTGAAACTTATTTTTAGGCTGTTCATGAATATGGGACACAGTCACCTAGATACATCAAAATAATAAGTGCATTTAATAATGTCTAGTAAGACAAATTCAATATTGTCTACTAGGCACTGCTGTATCTAAACTGTGTCACCCCACCTTACATTTTCCTACTGTTATTTAGTATATAAGATCAATATTTCTATATACATATTGTCAGTTTATTATCATCTGTAATATACATCGTCTCGACCAGCAACATCGTAATATTTACCCGCAACAATGAAATATAAATAAAGAAAAAAAGGGTTGTAAGGGATTGAAAGGAAAGATGAAAAATTTAATGGAATTTCGTCATTTTTTAATTCAAAACGATGGACTTTTTTTGTTTGAGGTCGTCGTAAAATAGATTGTCGATTAAATAGAAAAATTACATTTTTCAAAATTAGAAGCTAGAATTGCCTCCTGTTATATAAGTCCATTAAATTAACCACGCCGTCTTAATCATTATCTAAATACTTAAAACGATATATAACACTTCTGTGTAAATTTAAAACTTTAAAGGAAAAAATAATTTAAATTTAAATAAATTTATACTATATATATAAAAAAAAACTTTAAATGCTTGCCTTGAGACCAAATAAACATAAGAAACAATGAGATGTATTGGTTGCTCGGCAGAAATTCAAAATTATCCCTTGACAACAAACTTCTCCTATACATGTCTGTATTATAATAATAATAATATTTCAGGACAATTCACACAGCGCCATCTAGTCCCAAGCTAAGCAGAGCTTGTGTTATGGGTACTAGAAAACTGATATAAATACATGGATATATTTTTTTTTTTAAATAAATACATATTATACATAGAAAACACCCAGACCGATACAAACAATCATACTCATGAATACAAATGTTTGTACCGTGCGAGAAATCGAACCCACGACCATCGGATAGTAAAGCGGTGTGCTAAACCACTAGACCACCGAGGCTGTATTGAAATCCATTTGGACCTATGGCATACAATTGTGGGGTTCTACTGCAAATTCCAACATAAGCAAAGGGCTCAAAATAACATCCTGAAGTAGCATCTAAATGTGCCATGGTTTCCAAGAATATCTGAGGTTCATGAGTATCTGAACACAAACACAGTAGCCGAAGTGATAAAACACCAGTACTCCAAGTACAAGACACGGCTAGTACACCATCCTAAAAGGCGTAGGCTACTGGAACCCAATGATTAATCAGGACCACCAAAAGAGAGTGATTCTACTGGGAATCACTCTATACCCGCGTCTCCGACTAATTATAGAGATGAGGAGGATTAAGGAGGATTAAGTGCTCCTTAATCCTCGAGGGTCTTAAGAGGGTCGATGTCCTCCCTCAAATATGGTTGAGTACAATGATGGCTGGCTCATACGTCATACTCGTGAACGGGTGCTGCTTGTGGGGACTGGTCTGTTCAGGTTGTGAACACTGATTAAATTTTTTATTCTTTGCGATAGCATATGCTGGTGGTCACTCTATTCTCTCAAATTTGAATTTTAATAACTGTATTTATCATAATCATGTTCCACTATTATTTGAAAAAAATACGAGCTGAGTTTCTTGTCAGTTCTTCTCATCTCGTTATCATTCCGAACTGACGGTAGATTTGACATATCATAAGAGTCTGTAATAGACCTACATGAATAAAGATATTTTGAATTTGAATTTAAATTTAAGGAGGATTAAGGACGATTAAGGAGGATTAAGGAGGGAAGCCGCTGAAGACGTAGTGCTGCCCGGCACCGAAGCCGTACAAGTTTCGTCCGCTGCCCCAGAAGGGGGAGAAAGCGACAGAGGGGACAGGAGTAGAAACAATTTGTAGGGGTCAAGAGAATGCGTGCCTTTCAGCCCGTATTCCCCGTAGATTCGGCCAGTATAACCGTGAGGTTGGAATGACCATGGGTTCGTGGAGGGTTGATTAATTCTTGTAAAAAATATACATTTTGAATACTGCCATTTTTCTATTTAACTGAAGTGTTGTAGAAATTTCTAGAACTTACTTATGATAGTTGTCGTAATAACTTTCGTGGTGGTACATGAACCAAGATTCGATGTAAGAGTAATCTATATAGTATTGGTTTCCACACGGCGGCTCCGGGTCCAGGTTGATCATCCGTTTGATTCTTCCCGGGAACGCGTGGTGATAATATATACCTGAAAACATATATATATATTACAGTATAAGGGCCAAACACAAATTATATACTTTAGCGTTTACTTTCATATTAACTAGCTTTTGCTCGCGGCTTCGCTCGCTCCTCTTAGTGGTGGAATTTATCAAAAACCTTTCTTAGGGGATGCCTACGTCATTACTATGACTGACTACTGTCATGCATGCAAAGTCTCAGCCCGATCGGTTTAAAATTCACAAAGTTTCATACAAACTTTCATCCCCTATTTTATCCCTTTGGGGGTAGAATTAAACAAAATCCTTTCTTAGTGGATACCTACGTTATAACATCTACCTGCATGCTAAATTTCAGCCCGATCCGTCCAGTGGTTTGGGTTGTGCGTTGATAGATCACTACGTCAGTCACCTTTGAGTTATATATATTTAGACTAGCTGTGCCCGCGGCATCGCGTGGTTGTCAAAAACATTATCGCGATTATCTTTTGATTGCCACACATTTGTATAAGGATTCATATTACGTTGATATAAAACTCTTTGGGAAATAATTGGCATTAATGCATTAATTTCGAACAAATTTGATTACCATAAAAAAGGTTATAGTGAGTCAATCTTAAAAGATATACATATACGGTTGCGGACATTTTTTTAGATCATTTAAAGAGGAATAATTCTTTCATACATATTTTAACTGTTTCGTGTTTGCTCGTTGCTCAATTAGGTGTATATTATGTAGACACGCGGTAGCGTGTCAAGCCGAGTTTCAAGTAAACTGGCGAGCAGCACCGTGTGTATATTTACACGAACCATTTGGAGCCATTTTTGACCCCCTCATAACTCAAAAACTCTTTTACATAAACCTGTCAAATTTGGTTCATATATTGAGACTTGCGAGATAAATATGTATTCCAAATTTCATAAACATATCTCAAACGGTTATTTAGATATTAATGTCCAAAAATCGTCATTTTTATCACTGATCAACTATAGATCAAAATTATAACCCACTTCCAGATGATATAGGAAGTTCAAATTTGGCATGCAGATAGGTAATTAGGTGAATATAAAGGAAAAAAATCTGAAACTGGTAAATTGTTATCATTTTACTATAATTTTTCACTTTAATTGATTTTATTTCAACTTATACTGGACGAATACTAAAATTCTATGAAAACGTCGATAACCACCAATTGACATTGATCCCTGGCAAAATAGCTCATCTTGTACTGGGCGGAAAGTAATATTGTATGAAAACGTCGAACATTACCAATTTACGTTGACCCCTTTACACCAGTGTCGATAACTAGCAAACTTCAAATATTGCATTGAGCGGTAAACACTAGTTGCTATAATTAAGATTCTGTCTAAAATATACTCGTACTTATAACTAGGAGTATAGTCGAATTTCGTATTTATTATGTTATTAACTGAGATTTGGTATTAATTATTGTTTCAATATTTAGCGCACATCGATAGTGTAAGTACATTGTTTTTATAAATAATTATTAAATAATAGGCATTTCGTTATAGGGCGCCGCGGCGCCGTGTGGGAGCGGTGCGATAAAACGTTGACGAGAACCTGTCGGAGCGAATGGCAACCGCCCTCATATGTCTCAATGTTTTGTTTCTCGATATTTAACCTATAAGGTTGCGTTTTATGCTACGAAATTCATAGTTTTCTTAAATTATACTTATATATTTGTGGTTATATTATTATTACATTATTTTAGTAAATACGTATGGTATAGACAATAGTTTAAACCAAAAATAAATAATAATTTTAGTATAGTTATAAGTAGGAATGTATAGTTAACTCGAGAATGAGAACTCATTGGTAACAAATTGTTTTCTTGAGAATTCAGTAGATAACAGTCAATTTGTTACATAATCGTCTTTATGAACTATAACGTGTCAATACCAAGTTTCAGATATTAAATAATGTATATGTTGACAGAGAACATATGATATTTGCTTAACATATGCTATCCACAAATCACAAATCCTTAGTTTTGACAGTCCTCTTCTCAACATAGGCTCCTCTATATTTAATAAAGGGCAGGTTTACGTTGGACTCTCCAGAGTTAAAACCTTAGATGGAGTACGTCTTAACAATTTAGATCCAAGTCACGAGAGCTCTATTGTAGAGTACAACCATCTGTGGACGTTATACCGCCCCGATTTGCCCAAAAATTCCTGATACTGAATTGGCATTGCACTTGAACATTTAAAAGTTACAAGAAAACATAGAAAATAACACAAAAAAAGACATCATTCATTCTTCAGTCATCATTCATTCATCATTCATCATTCATTCTTCAGTCATCATTCATTCATCATTCATCATTCATTCTTTATTCATCATTCATTCATCATTCATCATTCATTTATAATTCATGTTCATACATCATATGAATGAACGATGAATGAATGCTGAATGAAGAATGATTGATGAAAGAATGAATGATGAATGAACGATGAATGAATGATGAAAGAATGATGAATGAATGATGGATGAATGATGAAAGAATGATGAATGAATGATGGATGAATGATGAATGAATGATGAATGAATGATGAATGAATGATGAATGAAGGATGAATGATGAATGAATGATGAATGAATGATGAATGAATGATGAATGAATGATGAATGAATGATGAATGAATGATGAATGATGAATGAATGATGAATGAATGATGAATGAATGATGAATGCATGATGAATGAATGATGAATGAATGATGAATGAATGATGAATGAATGATGAATGAATGATAAATGAATGGCGAATGAATGATGAATGAGTGATGAATGAATGGATGACCTAGGAAGTTCAAATTTGGCATGCGGATAGGTGAATATAAAGGAAAAAATCTGAAACTGGTAAATTGTTATCATTTTACTATAATTTTTCACTTTAATTGATTTTATTTCAACTTATACTGGACGAATACTAAAATTCTATGAAAACGTCGATAACCACCAATTGACATTGATCCCTGGCAAAATAGCTCATCTTGTACTGGACGGAAAGTAATATTGTATGAAAACGTCGAACATTACCAATTTACGTTGACCCCTTTACACCAGTGTCGATAACTAGCAAACTTCAAATATTGCATTGAGCGGTAAACACTAGTTGCTATAATTAAGATTCTGTCTAAAATATACTCGTACTTATAACTAGGAGTATAGTCGAATTTCGTATTTATTATGTTATTAACTGAGATTTGGTATTAATTATTGTTTCAATATTTAGCGCACATCGATAGTGTAAGTACATTGTTTTTATAAATAATTATTAAATAATAGGCATTTCGTTATAGGGCGCCGCGGCGCCGTGTGGGAGCGGTGCGATAAAACGTTGACGAGAACCTGTCGGAGCGAATGGCAACCGCCCTCATATGTCTCAAAGTTTTGTTTCTCGATATTTAACCTATAAGGTTGCGTTTTATGCTACGAAATTCATAGTTTTCTTAAATTATACTTATATATTTGTGGTTATATTATTATTACATTATTTTAGTAAATACGTATGGTATAGACAATAGTTTAAACCAAAAGTAAATAATAATTTTAGTATAGTTATAAGTAGGAATGTATAGTTAACTCGAGAATGAGAACTCATTGGTAACAAATTGTTTTCTTGAGAATTCAGTAGATAACAGTCAATTTGTTACATAATCGTCTTTATGAACTATAACGTGTCAATACCAAGTTTCAGATATTAAATAATGTATATGTTGACAGAGAACATATGATATTTGCTTAACATATGCTATCCACAAATCACAAATCCTTAGTTTTGACAGTCCTCTTCTCAACATAGGCTCCTCTATATTTAATAAAGGGCAGGTTTACGTTGGACTCTCCAGAGTTAAAACCTTAGATGGAGTACGTCTTAACAATTTAGATCCAAGTCACGAGAGCTCTATTGTAGAGTACAACCATCTGTGGACGTTATACCGCCCCGATTTGCCCAAAAATTCCTGATACTGAATTGGCATTGCACTTGAACATTTAAAAGTTACAAGAAAACATAGAAAATAACACAAAAAAAAGACATCATTCATTCTTCAGTCATCATTCATTCATCATTCATCATTCATTCTTCAGTCATCATTCATTCATCATTCATCATTCATTCTTTATTCATCATTCATTCATCATTCATCATTCATTTATAATTCATGTTCATACATCATATGAATGAACGATGAATGAATGCTGAATGAAGAATGATTGATGAAAGAATGAATGATGAATGAACGATGAATGAATGATGAAAGAATGATGAATGAATGATGGATGAATGATGAATGATGAATGAATGATGAATGAATGATGAATGAATGATGAATGAATGATGAATGAATGATGAATGAATGATGAATGAAGGATGAATGAGTGCTAAATGATGAATGAATGATGGATGAATGATGAATGAATGATGAATGAATGATGAATGAATGATGAATGAATGATGAATGAATGATGAATGGATGATGAATGAATGATGAATGAATGATGAATGAATGATGAATGAATGTGAATGAACGATGAATGAATGATGAATGAATGATAAATGAATGGCGAATGAATGATGAATGAGTGATGAATGAATGGATGACCTAGGAAGTTCAAATTTGGCATGCGGATAGGTGAATATAAAGGAAAAAATCTGAAACTGGTAAATTGTTATCATTTTACTATAATTTTTCACTTTAATTGATTTTATTTCAACTTATACTGGACGAATACTAAAATTCTATGAAAACGTCGATAACCACCAATTGACATTGATCCCTGGCAAAATAGCTCATCTTGTACTGGACGGAAAGTAATATTGTATGAAAACGTCGAACATTACCAATTTACGTTGACCCCTTTACACCAGTGTCGATAACTAGCAAACTTCAAATATTGCATTGAGCGGTAAACACTAGTTGCTATAATTAAGATTCTGTCTAAAATATACTCGTACTTATAACTAGGAGTATAGTCGAATTTCGTATTTATTATGTTA